TTTAATAAAGCTTCCGGTATCAAAGCTTAGTCTAAGATAGCTTTGTTCAATAAAGCTTTTTCTAAGAAAGCTTCGTTCAATAAAGCTTCCAGTATCGAAGCCTTGTTTAATAAAGCTTCCTGTATCAAAACTTTGCTCACTAAAGCTTTGTTTAATAAAGCTTCGTGCGATAAAGCTTTTTCTAAGAAAGCTTCATGTACCAAAGCTTTATCTAATAACAAAGAGTAATTAACGTTGGTAATGAGATATTAAAAATTCGCGCGAGACCGTACGTTTGCACGCAAGAGACAAGAACAGAGGATACCGCGGTTTTCTTTCTCTTTTTAGCTGCGGTACGACTTCCCTAATCTGTCTATAATATCTCCATGTTCTAAATACAATGTTTTCGAAAGGAACACCATTAGAGTCCCTTATCACGAGCGCTGTCTCTCAAGGAAATATATGTATACGTACATAGGAAGTGCAAGTAACGTAAAAAAAAAAAAAGAATCGAGGTAAGAGAATATCATGGTTCGATGGTCATAGCGAGCAGGCAACTGGGCAAGCGAACCAGTATCGCCACGCTTGTTGAATTTTCCACGAGGAAATTATAGAAATTTCTTCGCATTCGTTGCCAGATACCACGGAATTATCAGGGTTCACGATTTTTAACGTAAACGTATGTGGAACAACCGGACGCCAACGTTTTTCGTGTTTCTTTTCCGTTGCGACTGCCCATCTGCAAAAGTTATCAATTTTTCAGCCAGCACTTATTATCAAAAACGAGGAAAGCGAGTAAAATATTTCAAGGTACAAAGTCATTCCCATTCGCAAGAACGTCCAGAACGAAGAGCACACTGTGTATATTAGTCTCGTGTAGTACATGGTTCAAGGTCGGCCAGTATACGCTGAAGACGATACTCAATGCAAGCGCACGTAGGTACTATCATGGCTATGGTGTTCGAAGATGCGAGGAAATCCGAACAACCCATGGGTCACCATAAAATGAAATTACGCGTTTGTTCGAGGAACTTCGTGAACGAACTTCGCCAATTATTTTCTTGCGTTCATTTCCATATGCGCCCTGCAAACTATATTTTTTAGTCATCAAAAAGCAACCTGTATTTTCCGAATGTCCGAAAAGACATAACCTAACAAAATGACCGGGTACAAATGAAATCCCTAATTTTATTAATAGTAAGACCTAACTTACCGTCAGAGTTCGACTAGCACGACCTGAAATTTCGAAAATTGAATAATCCTCCTTGTTTTATTTATATCAAAAGACCTACCACCGCAACTTGAAAATCGCGACTGACTGAAACGGAAAAATACATTTTTACCCTCGTGGAAATCCCAAAAGTCACGTGACCAAAATTCGCGGTAGATTCAAACTACAGCTAGTTACATGTAAACGATCATTCCGTTGCGTTTCCACTGGCCACGCGTAATACGCATGAGGATCCACCCTAAGCTTCATTAACGCAAACAGAATAAATAAAATTAAATACCAACCGTTCGTTAACTTTACACCAAGCACTCTAATTAACAACTCCACGCATTCCGCTGACGCTAAGCATCCCGATACCGTTCAGATTTTATTCACGACGCGAACCGAATCAACCAAACGAACGAATAAAACTTGCGATCGACCTACACCGACTCTCCAGGTTTTCTCAATTCCTCTCAAACATCGTAAGATATTGGCTCGACTGCCGAAACCGAAACGTACAAAATATCCGTGTATTACTCACTCATATTTGTGGATGTTCGCGTTCACAGCCAATTTCGGCCCATGACGTTCAGGGTTCAGGCCCAGCTCCGATGGTAATCACGCAAGAGTCACGGGAGACACGAAAAACAGCCTGTTTATTTCCACGAAACGACTTTGGTTCCGTTTATGGGCGAGATGGAATGCAGTCGAATCGGCCGATGCCACCTGTTGTACCCGCGGAGGGAAACAATAAAGACGAGAGACGAGGCCCGTGCCCCGTGGCCGCGCGAGCCCGAGAGAAAAAAATGGTCTCAGCGAAGTTGAATGCACGAGTAATTTTCAGGAATCGACGTAAACGTGATCCACGGGTAACGACACCTTTGAAACTGACCACGGAACCGTTAACTTAGGCACGGTGGCATCGGCATCACGGCCCTCGACTAGACTGGAAGAATTCGCCGCTGTTTGACCCCCACTAGAATCTCGCACCGCGGCCGGAGGTAGGGCAGGATCGTAAGATAGTTCGAAAACAAGTCCTCCGTAGCTCCTTTGACCGTGAACTGCCGAACCACTGTCCCGATTTTCGGTCAGAATGCTCAAATCGTGCACCGTGCTTTCCGCATACGGGGTGTTGCGAACGAAAACGACTTCGATCTCGCGCGACGTCCAGCGCTACGTCTCCGATTATTTCATTTTTTTTTTTTTCTCCTGTAATACGACACGAAAAATTTTGAAATAAATCACGGACGTCCAGGACGGGGCGATGTACGCCGTGGAATTTTTTCAGATTTTCTCGTTGAAAATCCACATTTGGAAAAATAAAAAGCCTGAAGAAATATTATAAAAATGTGGCCAGTTTTTAAAGATTCCCCAGCTCCCTTGGTAACACACATTGTAAGTTGAAACTTTTTTTCCTTCAAGATTTCACGGAACCCTATAAAAAACATATAGAAAGTTTTCCTCTAGAGCGAAAACCCAATTTTTTAAAAACAGGGTAATGATTTTTACAAGAATTCTCAAGGGTTCCCCTATCGATTTTGATCATGATCTGGAATTGTCTACAAAAAATAATTTTTCAATTCCTCGTCCAAAATGAAGCATTTTTTCTTAAATAACATGTATCCCGAATTTTTGTTGTTGATGAAAAAAAAATTCCTAAAGTAAAGAAAATTTGTTTTGAAAAAAAGTGAACTTTTGAAAAAAATGTTTTAAACAAAAGTTCTACATCTCGACGAGATATGAAATTGTTGTGAAATATATTTTGTCGAAAAACGAATATTTTTCGAGATATTTTAATATTTATTTTTGTCGACTTATCGTTGCATTTTTATTGAATTTTTCTCTCGTAAACGATCAAAGTTACACCCACATGTTATTTAACAAAAAATGCTTGGTTTTCACCGAGGAATTGAAAAATAATTTTTATAAACAATTTTAGATCTCGACCAAAATCGTCGGGCATCCTAGACCTAACCTCATTCACCCATTTAAAAAAAATTAGTTTTTCACTTTATAGAAAAACTTTCTGTATGTTTTTGTAGGGTTCCATGAAATCTTCAAGGAAAAAAAGTTTTAATCTAAAGTATTCATTACTAAGAGAGCCATGGATTTTTGAAAATTAGGTAAATTTTTACAAATCATATAGCTTAAATTTATTTTACAATAATAAATTATTGCACAAAATTACAGGTTTATCTGTTTTGCTTTTTCTAGGGTCACACCAGGTTTTCCAGATTCTGTGCGAACTTGTATACTACACCAAAAGCTTCAGGTAAAATTCTACAACTCTGCAAAATGTATGTACGGTATACCTATCTCTTGCCTTTTCATTTATTTATTATTCGTTCTGCTATTAGATGATGAACTGCTGCATTGAAAAGAAGAAAGCCAGGGAAGAATCTGCCCATAGGTCTCAGAGTTTGGATATTGACGATTTCGAGACAGGTGTGTTAGTACAAGATAACTCTCACGCAACAAGATTTTCACTTTGCTTTAGTTTCAACAGAATCGGAAGAAGAGGAGTTCTTTGAATGCACAGAGGAGCAAACAAACGAGGACAACTCTACAACAAAGACACAACCAAAAGCGAAATATCTGTTGTGGAATAAACCAACAGGAAGATTGGCTAGACATCCTTCACTCAAGTATAAATCTACTTTTTCTCTCAGTGAAATTTACTGACCTAATACTTTTTTAACAATTATGAATTTTGTTTAGACTGATCAAAACTGGGGATCCTCTTTATTTACCAGTTACGCAAGATCCTGTGCCAAAAACAGAGGATCAACTCGAGGAGGATGCTCAAGTAATGATGCAACTTGGAACTGACAAATATGCTTCGGAAATGAGAGCTAGGCTGATGAGCGCTTCGTTATTGTCTGACATGGAATCGTTCAAGGTAACACAAACTATCTTTTAATAAGAGCTAATGTTTTTACATTTTTTATTAATATTTTTAAACATAGGCAGCAAATCCTGCGGCTGTTTTAGAAGATTTCATTCGATGGTATTCTCCCAGAGATTGGATAGAAGAAGATGGAACAAACGAGTGGGATCAGCCTAAAGGTCCCCTTCCTAATTTTCTTATTCTTTAAATCGCACATAAATCTATGCATTTATATAACGAAGCTATTCGATACAGGACATCTATCCGCGAGAATGCTAATTCCTAATAATCCTTGGTCTACAACTTGGAGTTCAGCACAGCAAGTTCCCGCGCATCGACAAAAAAGATTGTTCGACGACACAAGGGAGGCAGAGAAAGCCTTGCATTACTTAAGTTCCAAGCGCATCGGGCAAGTTGCTCAGCTTCTCTTGCCAGCTTTAACCCATGCATCGCTTTATACCTTGAGTCAACAAAAACAAGATGCTCTGCCAAATCTACCGGACGTTGCGCAAAGCATACAGAATAAATTGCAGTATGCTACGAAACCCCTTCATCAAAAAATACATATATACGAGGTATCTCTAATTTATAAGCTCCTAAACGTAGAATTCTACTAGATTACAAATTTCATAGCTAAGGAAACATTTCGCTAGGAAATCGCTCGAGATATAGAAGGCGTGGAAGCTCTAGTCGCCCAAGTGAACTCCATGCATCACAAATTGGGAGGCAACGATGATTCCAAAGAGTTTACTTCGTTCCTAATTCAATTAATGCGAGGAAAGGAAGTAGAAGTGCCAGGCGGTTGTAGGGGAAACATTGGTTCCCGAATAACGGCAATGTTCAGAGACGCGCAAAAAGTAAGAAATTTTACTTATTCAAATCCAAATATTTGTTCAATTAATATTTAATTATTTTCCAGGCTGCCTTTGTAATGACTTCCGTTACTAGCAATTCTGACGTAGATGGTCTTGGAGATGGCAAATACAAAACATTTCCCGAACCCTCGTGCAAAGAGTTCATTTTGCGTACCATGACCCCGCGACCTTCGCCAACCTCCACACCTCAACCGCAAAGGCTGTACGCATGTCTTAAACGAGATTACATTCGTTTGGCTGGTTTCTTTTCAGAGGATACTGTATTTTTATAGATCGCATTTCAATTTTTCTTGTCAGAGTATATATCGATTTTATACCTTGGACATTAGTATCCTCTGAAAACTTACAACGCATTTACCAACAAAAGACTCCAGAAATACATACGAAACGTTTAAGTTTATGATAGATGTAATTAGACTGTGGATCTTTACACACATATCGTACACACAAGCTAAAATCTTTGCACACATATCGTATAAATGTAAATAGGAATTCATTTTACTCAGCAAATATTATAATATAAACTTTTACTTTCGATAATTTTTATATTATTGCATATTGTGTGTTCTTTTATATTTAAGTTTCTTATAAGTGTGAAAAAATCCGCAGTCTAAATGTAATGCACAATTGCTAACCTCAATTTCTAACCAGGCTTCTCATGCAGAAATGAGCTTGCTTGACGAATTTGTTGCATAAAAAAGGGAATTTCGCATCTTGTTTTGTTCATTTTGGAGCTCCTAGGAATACACCTGGAACATTTGTTAATTATTAACAATTATTAGACAAAATATGAATTTGTACACATTCCCTACTAACCTCAAAAAGCAGTCGTCTGTATGCGTCTGTACTAATAGCGCCACTAGCGAGAAAGAGGAAAGTACATATTCGCGGGAAATTTGAATATGGCCAACGAAGTTATGTTGGACAGTCCTCGGTTGAAACACGGCCTTAGATTGATGACAAATTTATTGAATAAATAAATTTTATAGAAAACGATTTATCAAAAATGTCATGATATATCTCCCATCACGACACATCCAACAGAAACATTCTTTTCTCCAGTTTCGGTGGCGTAAATAGGAAGTCACGCACAATATCGTCCAACTCTTCCAGGGCTAATTGAGCGTGCAAACGTAACACTGGATCCTCGCTATTGTTTCTTAAATGTTTAAGCCCACGATACAGCTCCACCAAATCTTTACCAAGGTTGGTTAAAGTGTCTTTTCCAAGCCCTCGAAGTAACAACGTGACAACCATAACCGCAGCTCGTCGACATTCGGGAACCTTGTCAGTTTTTATTATACAACTGACGCAATAGATTACCTAAAAGTGTTTGATCAAATTACATAGATGTCAATGGATATAATACGAATAAATAAAAGATTTAGATTCTATTTGAAAGAAATTTAATTATGTATTTATATAAAATGTTTCCAAGTACCTCGATGAGTATGTCTCCCAATCGGAAACCTAACACTTTACACAATTCACCTAAGCAGGAAAGGCTAGAAGCGCGTACCAACGAATCTGAATCTCGTGTGGCGCACAGAAATCCGTTTACTAAGATGTTTTTGTATGCAGATGCCATTTCACCTATTGTACAATACAAAGTAATTAAAGATCCTTTAAAAGATTAGGGAAATATCTTTACGTACCTAAAGATCGCGTTACTTTTACAAGTATTTCTCCCAGTTTGATCCTAGTTTCTGTTGTTATTTCTCCAGTTGCAACACGGTTTGCCATGTCGACATATTCTTGTACCAACGTTTCTATAACTACCTGCGGGTACGATGTGGCTAAAGTGCATAGTCCGTTAATTGCTGCCAAGTATATAAACGAGTCTTCGTTTTTTAAATTTTCCTGTAACATAAAATGTACAGTGCGAAAACCATACTATAAGATAAGCTTAAAGATCGATTTATTTTACTAACTTTAAACAATTGTAATATAATCGCTTTTCTGGCAGTGGCGCACGGATCCTTATTTTCGATCAGTTTGGTAAACGTTATTAGACCATGAGCACGTACAGGAAGCAATGGATCTGTAACGTCTTTAAGCGCGTTGTTAAACATGCTCGAAGTCTTATTATCCGCTGATAAATCTCGATAATGTTTTTGCTTCAATCGACCCTGAGTTTCGATGAGTTCGATTAGTTCTCGCATCAATAATAACAACTGCTTTGGAACGTTCGAAAGAGTGCAACTATCTTTCAAAAATATTGCAAAATCATTGAATTCTGCCCAATTCAAAGGTTTCCTTCTTACGCTTAAAATCATTTTTATCAACATCAAACTAACGTACAGAATCTCGCAGTCCCCTTCGTCCGACGAATTCTGTCCTTTCTTAACGTAATTATTATATAACGATTTTATAAAAGACAATATGGGCCTTGGATTTTCTATTTGCGCTTCTTGCACGACGGATACGTTAGCTAGATTCGATAATAATTTTACCGCAGCTAACTGTTTCCCAATCCTTTCCATCATATCGTCTTCGGTTTCTAGCAAATTTTCGCCTTCCTTTTCTAATTTCATAGAATTCGATAAGAACTTCAATAAATACGAGAATAACTCCGTTGATAGCACATTGGTCGCGGACGTTAAATCGAGCAGGCTGTCTGCAAACTCTTCGTAATTAAGAGTTGCGTCTATTCCGATAATTTCAACTCTGCCTGTTGGTCCAAATCTTGACGCCAAACGCTGGCCAAAATCTCCAGTCGAACTGTGTCCAAGCAATTCGGCGTAAACACTGTTTCTCGACGACTCTTCGTGCAAAAGTCTCAGTACAAGTTGCTTGATTTTAGACTTCAGCGGACAAGCACTTTGCCTGACGTTATTATACAAGCAAAATAATGGAACGGCTACTTTCATTAAAAGTTCGCACGGCAGCTGTTTAAATTTAGCTTCTACGGTTACGAAACAATTCATCAAAATTTCGATACACCTTTCTACTTCGTCTTCGTTCTTTATTATATCTTGTTTGTTTATTGGATTGACGAGTAACGAGTCGCATATGACCTCCATAATATTTTTAATACAAACATCGGGATTGTGCTCGTAAAGAGCGATAATGCAACAATTTGCTATTGTCGACGAGTACTTTACTTGTTTCGTTGTTAAAAGATTCAGTATCTGGAACAAATGTAAAATGGAATGCTTAGAAAAATGTATGAATGATTAACAGACAGATGTTTGCGAACTATACCTGTGGACATATAGCTTGATAATAATGATCAGGATCACTGCCATGAGTAGCAGCTATTAGTCTAGAAACAGTATCCAATTTGTTCCAGTGTTCGCCAAAATCCAAGACATCCTCGCAAACAGCAGTCGCGAGCGAAACAATCCCATTAGGTTGCATAAGTTGGTGTATTAAATATTTACGAGTTTCCCTTTGTAGCCATTTTGGTGCTCCTTTCATACCGAGAATTACCATAAATTCTTTCATACTCATAGACATCGGACAGCTGTTCAATAATTGCTGCATTAAACCAGTGAACAGGTCCTGGTCCTTTTTTAATTTATTGTACAAATCTGTCGTCATTTTAAATTCATTTTCGCTTGTATTTTCTGCTGATGTTGATTCTTCTAATGGCTTCATCAGTGGAGCATGACTTAATTGTAAAAGTGCAGCTAATAAGGGACCTATTTGAACGAGTACTGCAGAATGGAACATGATATCATTGCTCAATTCCATGAGAGAATGTACTGTGAATGTCAGTCTTTTGTACTTCTAAAATAAATAATATTTGAGTAAGAATTAGATATTTATTGACCCAATATATATTTTATAATTAACGAGGTTAGATTTTTGTACCTGTAGATCTGTTACATTTTCTTTGCATATCTCAGAAGCTCTAGGGCATAGTTTCACCATGTTGTTTCCCACTCCAGGTAACAGAGCAGGTATAATTCCTATTGCAGTTACCAATTCTATGGCGACTCTTAAAGTATGGAACTGCTTAATACTGAGTAAAGACTCTTCATTAGATACATTGGATGTTTTTATTGTTTGTAATACACGCACAACTGCTCGTAGATATTGATACCTAAAAGCACAAGGGAATTAATTGTAAAATTTTGTGTAGGATTCATATATCAGATGCGGATGATTATACATCACCTGATATCTGAACCATTTTCATAGTGAATATCATCTGTTATAAACTCTTTGTCATGTTCTGGTAAAGTGGGTAATATTTTTAGCAGGATGTGTTGCAGTCTGCCATCAAAGTTTTCAATTTCTTCTACAAAGAGGAATAGTATGTTAAATTGTGTACAGAGTAATTAGTGAATATATAGAAAGAGATTTATACCATTATTAGTTTTATCGACTGTTGTCAAAGAGAGTAATGTTTCGTTGTAGTCCATCTTATTATAACCAATTTCTCATACAAAAATAGAAAGTAATAACTAATGTAAAGACGAAATTGTTTTTAACCGTGCTATGTGCCTCACAGTTTTCCAGTGCGCATGATTAAAAAACTGGTTGCTATAATTCGAGCTTTATCACAGCTGTGACGCACACTGGCGCACGTCGTTGTGCGTCGTTGCTTGAGGTTGCTTGACAGTTCAAAGATGATGACTTCCTCGCAAACCAAGTTGGATTTAGGCGAGAAGGACACGGAGGACTCGGCGATTTTGGAAGTAAGCACAGTCGCGGTCGGGGGTATCGTCAAACAGGAAAGCCGCGATGGAGATTTCCTCTCCAATTGTAGCAACTCCGTCGATGGTTCAGTGGTAAGAGCATAACCTGAAACAACTTTTATAGTTGACCTTAATTACACCAAGAGTCCGAATTAACATGAATAACTGGCATCTCCAACAAGGATAATCCAATTTGCATGTAGCAGTAATACTACAGAAACTATATTAAAGATTACAGTGTAAACAAACACAGTCTATGAAACATTCCCATTCAAAATTTCTCTTCAATCCACACATTTATAAACACACATTATTCCATCTAAAAGAATTCTGAATTGCTATCGGTAAGTAGAGCTCCTAGTACGTGTACATGTATTCCATTCTTACAGTACTATAAGATAGGTAAAGTAATGGAAAGTATATGGAAGTATACAACATATGGTCTCTTAACATGTTTAGATTGCATCTCCTTCCATCGATAGTTTCTCTACTCTACCGGAGCAAGAGATATCAGACTTTCAAATAGATTCTCGAGATCTTCAAGTGAAAGTGGACAATCCTCAGAAACATCTGGAAACACTCGAGACTTACATTACCTTTCGTATAACAACAACGGTAAGTTTAATTCTACTATAATATAGACTTTCTTAACATTTTTTTTAACACTATATCTGTGTTATCTTAGTCCACAAGAGCAGAATTCGAGGAGGGAGAGTACATCGTTCGGAGACGTTACAATGATTTTATTTGGCTGCGACAGAAATTGGTGGATTCGTACCCGACGCATATCATACCAGTAATCCACTGTTCACTTGTTTACCTTTAGAATAATCTTATAGTCTGCGGGAAGAGTTGCATATCGATCTTATTATTACAGCCAATGCCTGGGAAACATACGCTACTCGCACAGTTGGATCGCTACTCTAAGGAATTCATTATAGCACGGATGAAGCTGTTACACGTATTCCTTAATAGAGTCGTTAATCATCCCATTCTAAGCTGCGACAAAAATCTGCAGATCTTTTTGACCGCTAAACCTGCGGTAAGCGTATCTTACGAAGCTTTATTCGATACACTTTCGGATATTATATTTCTCTTCTTTGTAGGAGTTTCTTATACATCGTAAAAATCGTGCAAATGTTCTTGTAAAAATGACCGATTCTTTACAAAACATAGCGAGCACATACACCATGAAACAACATCAATACGAGCTCGAGCAAATTCGAGATTATTGTACAGCCTTAAGCGAAAAATTAGGAACTATAGATAAGATAAATCATTGTATACACAAGGAGAGACAAGGTAAAAAGCAAATTATATTGCAAATTACAGCGAACTGTGGAAGTATTTATACTTCATAACGATTTTAATTTGTTGTTGATATTTTTTAAAAATAAATATTACACTCTACTTATTGATAGAAATATATCGATTAAACTTTGAATCGAAATAAACTTTAAAAAATTAATTATTACAACGGATAGTTTTATCGATAAGTATCCTGTAATATTTATTTTAAAGGAAACAGTTAATCGAAATATTTTTTATCCGAATTAGACTATTTGCTCGAGTTGCATCAACTGCATCCAATATTCACCTTGTGGGCAACTTCTGAGCCAGAACTGGCTCCTATTCTGCTGGCGATTGCAAAAGCGATAGAATGTAACGCAGTGGCTCACCAAAAGCTTTTAGAAAATGTTCCGAACGAAGAGCGAGAATACATTTCGTACATAGACGCGGTCAAGAGCGCGCTATCTCGGCGTGACTCGATGCAAATCAAATACGAATTGATCGTCGAAGATTTGGCAAAGAAAAGACTGGAAAAGGATCAAGTATGCACCATTGAATGCACTTAATGTTATAGTTTAAATCAGTGATTTTCACACTTTTTAAAAATTACGCTTTAACACGTTGAAGAAACTTAAAAAACCTATTCTAAAAATGAGATGTTAAAGAAAATAAATCTGGATAGGATTCCTGAATTTTAATAAGGCGACAACAACAAATACCATGACAAATTTTGGGTTACGGAATTTCCAATTATTCTTTGAGATCACTGGTTTAAAACGTGGCAATGAATTACAATGATTACTAACAACCAAAATTGTTCGAACAGTTAATGGGCGTTACAAGCGGTGCAACATCAGTGCAAAATTGGGGTGGATCGATTTGGAAAGCAGAGTCGCGCGATGAGAAGCTGGAAAGACTTGGACAGACGATACCACGATTGGCTAAGCAGGCAGAAGTGTTACAGGATCGCGTGGAATGCGCTAACGAGAATTTACGCAGCGATTTACAGAGATGGAACACGGAGAAACAAACGGATTTGAAAAATATGTTGATCTCGACGGCGGATCGACAAATACGTCATTACCAGCAATGCATGAATGCATGGGACGAGGTTCTCACCGATTTGAAATTGGATGGAATAGTGTCGGATGTTAGCGTGGGACCACCCATGAAGATACCTGTTTGAATTGGCACAACTCCCCCGTCTTGGGCTCACGTACACACAGTAAACACCTCGTGCATTTACAAAGGTAAACACGTAAACGTAAAACGTTTGCCATTGATAACGGAAATTTTATTGCATTTAAGAAACTGACCTTACCAGCTTCAACGTCACTGCTTCAGCAATTAAATAACTTTGTCTCTTAAGTCTTGAATGTTCTTTGTCGAAAGTTACGATCGGTACTTACATAAATTACAAGTTCGTTAGTTAGACGCACATGTTGCACATTCGTATAACGTATTCGCTTAGTTTTCAGATATAAAAAGTTCACGGTGAGATGGCTTTATAATACAATAAGATTGCGAAATGACATGAGAAATTAAATTAAAGTATTTAATCCTATAAGTATAACTAGGGCAAATTTTGGCATAGAATCGATAAAACTTTTTTCGCGTATTTTCCTTTAGATCGCCAGTTAAGTTTGGGGACCAAGTACTAAATGATTTTTACGATTTCTCGTTTCTCTTACTTTCAATCCACGTACAATACATTCATTGACAATCAGTTTTAGTTACCCATATCTGGTAGTTACCAAAGTTATCTATATACCATAGATAGTTAACGTAGCGTAATGCTAGAATATAATTTACAAATCAGAGCAAGCGCTTGCAATGTTCGTTGTATCGTGTACCCTTATCTATATCGTTAAGTTTTGGACAATCCACGCAGCAGCACTTAACAATCAACTTAAACAACCATATTCTCATGAAAAAAAAAAAGAAGCACATTATCTATACAACGTATTATATCGGCTGTTATTCATACTTGGGACTAATGAGTCTTGAGATGGTTATTATATATTGTATATACATACACGCACACGATATATATAGTACTTATGTGTGTGTGTATATGGGGTACGTTTCCAATACATCCATTACAATGTACACGTTATCGTAATAATAATGAAACTCTTAGATTTGTATCAATAAATAAATTATTGTTTGCAACATATCGTTGATTCGACGGTTACCTTATTCGATTTAAGTATAATGCGACATTGGCTTTATATATAATACCACCAAATTGTCCAAATCGTACAGTCTAGTTATGGATTCACCTGTAAAATATTTTATTTATTTTCGTCATTTATAAATGATATATTTTAAACCACTCACCTGCTATGCTCATCTCGTTATTCAAGAACCGTACAGTGTGCGCGTATGGTTGCTGTATCTTTTCCCTCAACTTTGGCGCTAAACGTCGAGTCGGATTCCACAGAGGACTCCGAAAATTCGGAACGTTCGTGCAGTTCGATTTCCAAGATTCTGGTTTTACCTCCTCCATCGGCAATACGTCCGTTATTCTATACTGGTTCGTGTCGATGTTCCACGTAAATTTGCAGCCCACTTTGTACTGTTTTCTTTCTTGAGAACTGCGCACATTTCGCATACGTTAACGCTCAAAGTACAACAAACACCTTCAAACGTAAACCGATACTAACCACTGAGTTTGACTACCAATTTCGCTAGCCTGGATTTTCATGATCAACAAACAAATAATATCCCCGCTCAACGCGCATACGTCTATTATCTCGATGTCGTAATCGCTGCAATGCCAGTATCTCTTTTTAAATCTCGTACAGATCCAGTCAGCGATGTGGTGACAGAACGTTTCGATGTCGAAACTTAATTGGTTTATCGACACGCTAGGTACTATCTGAAAATATATTCAATTCTCAATTAAAATCTATTCAACTCCTCTATACAATTCCAATTTGATTTAAAATGCCCACCAATTTCTCAGCCTTGCTGTTGCTGATCATTTGCATTTGAACGTATCCAGATCCATGAACGAGCATAGGAAGCACGCACTGATAACTCACGTATCCTCCAGTCTCTTCATCTGCGAAATATCGTGTACAGATTTTCTTAATCGCTGCTAGAAACATGACTTAGGTACGCTCTATCGACTAAACGTACCTTCGACATCCGTGATCACAGATATAATTTCGTCATCAAGTTCAACGTAGCTCCTCTTGAAGTGTTTAGTGCATTTTATGACAGGATATTGTAAATCTATTTTTGGAACCAGTGGCGAACCATTCAGAGAATGTTTGCCCGTACGATCTCTGTTTATACCTCCGTTAGGTAGTTGATTCTGATTCAGCGGACGTAGAACATTCTTCTCAGCTGAAAATAGTTGTACAGTTACATCAAGTGTTGTTCCATCCCTTACAGGGATTGGTAAGGGTGTAGCGAAACTTATTTTAATGATCATTGAAATGACCACCCTAATAACCATTTACCTGAATCGGTGATTAAGTCGTTCGACACCCCGATGTCTTGGCTAACGCCAAAATAATCCGTTTCGCTTTCGTCGGAGTCCACCCAGTGCTTCCTACCGTTTGGCATTACAGGCGACATCGGGGACGAGGGTATCTGGTGTATCGAGCAGCCACGATCCTTGAATTGATCCCGTATATGCTTGAAAGGGATTATGTTCTCGGCGTCCTCCGTTTCGTCGCGGAACTCGTACTTCTTGTCGGCGAGTCTGCGTTTCCTGAACGAGCTGAGCTTCTCGCAGGTCTCCTGCGCCTCGTCCGTGAACTCGTACGCTTTCTCCGCCTCGAGGGTGAGCTTGTGCGTGGCTCTCGTTCTCGATTGCGCGGGGTTTACGATGGGCGGGGGAGAGTGGAGATTGGACCGTTTTCGAGAGCTGGGATGCCAGAAGGATCGCTTGACGGGAGGGGACATCAAACGCGAGGAAGAAGGGCCCATGGAGACGGAGTGAAGAGGGAAATTAACGGAAGTTACGTTGTTATCCTTAGAAGCACCTGGTTGCGGAGAGTAGGGACGCTGACTGCGTATGCTTTTATGACTAGATTCGGAATTTCGGGTCTTGAGGATGTCTGAGGGCGGGGTGAGGATCGGCGAGGACCACGGGGTCGTCTTGAGATCAGAAGGAAGCCTTTGAGGCGTAGACCGCGGCGAACACGACGGGTGCTTCACTAGAGTAATTAAATCGCTACCAATGTTAAGTTCCTGGGACATGTCCTCGCAGAAGTCCTGCAGGATCTTGTCCCTAACGGATATCGCTTGCTGGTCGATTCTAGATCCCGTACTCGCGTTACAGCATTTATATTCTAAGGTATCCGAATATTCACACAGCTTAACAGTTACAGCATCGGCAGACTTATTTATATCACAGACACAATCGCTTTGACTACTACTTGAGGTATTCGATGGATCACGAGCTAACTTATCGTCTACTTTAATTGTTTCTTCTAAAAAGTCATGTTCCGCACTCGGGGACTGCTCGACCGCGCACTCGGACGTACCTACTTTCTCGTCTGAGCTTTCGTAACGTTCCACCTTCGCGTAATGCGCGTCCTCCACGTCACTCATGTCCAATGGCACCGTGTCAGGTATCACAGTGTCCTGCTTATCACAAGTCTTCTGGTTTTTGGACTTCGGAATGTCCAAGTCCACCTTCAGTACGTGTAAAAAGTTCCCCGCGTTAACCACCACGTGATTCCAATAGTTCAAACAGACCGCAGCTCGGAACCTCGGGTACGGGGAAGTTACTTCGTAGGTAGTGTGAACGGTGAGTCCGTGTTGGAGACAATCGTGTCGCAGACAACCGTCCCAATTTGCTAGCAACTCTGTGAAACATGAAACTCTCATGAAACATTAATTAATATTCGTTCGGTACGAATGCATGTTGTATCGTAATACGTTGTTACCTTCGAAATCCTCTTGAAAGGATTCTGCAACTTTCAAACAATCTTTGCAGTTCTCGAGAGACGGTATCGTGGTTATCGTTAAGTATGCTCTGTCCGTTGGTTGGAGATGCAGCCAATTCGTACTAAAAATTCATCGTAATCAATTACGGATAATACAATACAACGAATATATTCAACCAACGAAACACTAACCATAGGCCGTGTATCACTAGTTTGTTCCGCTCCATCGGCCATTGCGATATAACGATACTAAGTTCCCTGTGGATTGTGTGATTACCAAAAAGCGTAACCTGCGCGACTTTCCGCGCGATATAGTTCGGAGTGAAAGCCCACCAGTGTAACAAATATTTATACGTAGAAGTATTGCGGCACACATCCATCGTGTACGTGTACGTAAGTAAAAACTGACCACACTGCGTCAATCCCATCACGACATGTCTTAAATAACAACGGTTATTATTATTATAGAATATATGTGACAAGGATGCAATTGCTTTTTTTAACATTGCTTCGGTGTCATACAAGTATGTAAATGTTGAAACGTACCCTGCTTCTAACGCAGACTTTGGGATTACATGCAGAAGCAGTAAATGTCTCCGTGGAGGTACAGTAGTAAACAGTCTTTCCTCTGTTGCATTATTGTGCGCCGATAGACAGCCTCTGATCTACAAAAAGAAATTGATTCACAATGCCAAGGGTGTATTTTACAGAATAAAACAGAGCGATAAAACTGGCTAGAGAAATTAATACTCAGAAAAAAGTTATATTAGCTACAAGATTGCTCGACACCTGTAAATTTACGATACGCTTAATTTACAGGTGTACTTAATTTAATTTTAATTCACAATTGTTTATGTTTTTCTCTCAAGTGTCTACAGATCATGCAATAATTACAATAACGAAATTAAAAGAAACTAGCATGGGCAAGAACAAAAGCACATTTTTTCTTGCAACCATTGAAAGTTTACCACAGTGTGAACGCGACAAGTGTACTAGACCATCGAGAAACAATAAAACATTCTTTTCCTCGAAGATATCCTAGTACAACTTTGTTTGTTATTCGCAACGGGGACGTATTTTGACAGATCTAGTATGGGGTCTGTCTGTCAGTTTCGTTATCACTATGCAGGTTGAAGGTTAAGCAGTTCCTACCTCTCTTAAAAATAGCTTCTGTAAGAAATGTCTTTTGCTACGACGGTGAGACAGACACGGCTTCTGGCCTATCATAACGTACTCCGACGCCGACCGTTCAGAGGTAATATCAGAATACCATTCATTGCAACAATCTGAGGTAGTGTCGGAAAACGATGCGTCCGCCATTTTTAAATAACCCTACTGGGAGATACGCGTGAGCCCAACAGCGTCGAGAGCACGACAAGTGTCGAGAACAACGCGATTCGCCACGATTCGGCCAAGTATACCGCATAGGCGGACCGTTCGAATTGTTTTCGACGCTCTCCTCGCGAGAAATATGCGACTACAATGTCAATTTGACATTGTGATCGTTCGATGGTTCGAAACAATAATCGGAGAAAGTCGGCGAATATTTTAGATCGGCTTTGACGACTTTCTCGATTAGAATATTATTAAAATGCGTATCTGTTAATAGCAAATCTGATGACTTATCGGATTAACCTCATAGAATAATACAAATTGCTATTATTTATTTATTTCTATTCGAGACAATTACCGGTATGATGACCAGTGGCGCCATCCGTGGCGAAATGTCGTAGTGAAATTAGTTCTCGCTGCTGCTACTAGATGACGCCATTAGCTAAGGGATATAAATTCTGTCTAAATTAAATAACTATTCATGCAAATAATGAATTTTGATATATTATGTAATATATGGAAGCGTTATGAAGCACAGGATCCTACTAATTATCTAATAAAAAATAAGTTTTTAAAAAGGTATTTGTAGCGTCATCTAGCGGTGAAAGTGAGAACTATATTTACTACAAACTTTGGGCGTTTGCTGCTAGATGGCGCCACCGACACATGATAATTAATAATTTTTTTTTGCAATTAATCCATAATTAATATGATTTCTTGCTTTATAACACTCTAATGTAATAGTTAATATTCCAAATTTATCATTTCTCTGAATAGTTATTTAATTATTATCGTTACTTTATCAAAGTTTCTAGGTTATATCTGATGTCGTTATTACGACAAGTGTCGCAAAACACTACGTCAATAAAAAATACAATATTTTTTAAACCGTAGGGGCTAAAGAACTTTGATGTTACTTTTCCGTAGCAGCAAGCAGGGATGCACAATTATTAAAATGAACGAAATATGGATAATTTCATGTAGCGCAACAATGTAGCTAGTCACAGCGTAAATAAGTATTTTTTCGTACGTAAACCTTTCATCCTCTGATTTTTAATACTCGTTACTGATTTGGAATAATATTTCAGACGTATACTAAAGGTAATGCAGGAATTAAATGAATTTATATAACTGGTAAAAGATGGATATCACACTAGATGATAGATTAAATGTGCTGCAACAGATAAGCCAAAGAAAGCTCATTGAAATATTGGACACGATCCCTGGGACAAAAGACCTGGTGATCGAGCAGAAACTTATGAAAATCCTGGATAGTTTTGTAGGAGTTTCTGTACTCAAGTAATAGTTTCATTAAATACTCTGATTACTAGGTCATTCAAATAAAAGGACTGATTTTTATGAAACTATAACTTATCAATAAATTAATTACAAGCTACAACCTTAGAACTTTAAGAAGGCTTTAAGCTTTTGTTCATATTTGAATCATCTGGTATATCATTTTAAAATACACAGAGTAATAATGTCTTTGGTTTAGACGCTATGGAATCGATAAAATATATAAAATGGAACAAGGTCTGAAACTTTCAAACTCTCAACGCATATTTCTAGTCTCCAGTGATTTGATTTCTTGTAAAAGGGTATTAGATCAGATACAATCAGAAATCTCTCCAAATATCAGACCTCGTGTACAAGCATGCCACCATATTCTAGTTGCTCCATTTGTACCGACAGTTTTGAACACAATTATAGAGGAAGAGGGTAATTATTTACGTTATTAAAAACTGATAATCGTTATTAGGTCTGCGTTAAGGTAAGAATGTTGATGTTTGTTTAGGCTTGTCCGGATTAGTCACCGTACGAACGTTATCATGGGAATTTATACGATTAGACGGGAACGTCTTATCTTTAGAAAATCCTATGTTTACCGATCTTTATTATCACAAAGATACTACTCTATTGCCAGCATTGGCGCGTGGCTTATGGTCGTTGCAGCTTATACTCGGCTCGCCCAAGCTTTTAATTTCGTTTGGCAAACACAGTCAACAAATAATAAAAATTATGGAATCCATGAACCAATGTTTAGGCTCGTCTAATATCGAAAATGAGATAGGAGCTTTAATTTTGATGGACAGGAATTGCGATTTAGCCACTCCTCTCTTAACTCCCGTAACGTACTCAGGGCTACTGCACGAAGTTGTAGAGATAAATGTGGGTACTGGCGTTTTGGGCAAATCACAAACCAAGTTAGAACCAGAGAAAGATCAGATTTACGGAGAAGTAAGAGACACACCGTGCAGCGATGTATTTCCTATTTTACACGGGAAGGCTAAGTCTCTAAAATGTATATTTTTACATTTGTATACGTTCCTTTCATAGATTCGATTTCTATGCAAATTGGTAATATGTACTGTGTATTAGCTGAACAGGATGCTATACAGACGATGAAGTTGTCCGAAATGGAACGATACGTGGCGACGAGATTGCAGAAAACCAGAGATACGACGCGTCAACTGGCCTTTCATATTTCTGCTTGTCAACTCATCGCTGATACGCTAGGTTCCGATTTTCAGACTTTGCAGAAAATAGAAAAGTTTATACTTGAATGCAAGGAGAGAAAAGAATGCTTGGCTCATATAGAAAGACACATAGGTACGTAAACATTATTATTACGTAATATCGCGGTATTATTTAAAAAAAAAAAAAATAATATTTCCAGACGATCAACCGTTGAGAGCTCTACGTTTACTATGTCTGTTGTCCATCGCGAGCGACGGAATCACGCAAAACGAGCTACACTCTATCCAGAGGCTACACCTTCACGCGCACGGTTACAAACACATACCGTTGATGTACAAATTGCAAAGTATAGGTCTGTTAAAGTGTAGAACGGAAAATATTTTGCATAAATTACCAAACTGGACCAGCGAATGGAACAACAATGCTCAAAAGCTGAAACTTTTGCCTAGCTATACCAAACAAACGGACCAGAAAGGACACGCGTGTCCAAGTTACGTATTCAACAATGCTTACGTTCCTGTGATCGTCAGTATCGTTCTAACGAGAGTTCATTATTTCGCTCTTATTCGTAATTAACGCGCAGTTTACATCTCTACAGGCTCAATTATTAAACATCGTTATAAGTCAAGAGAAGGACCCTAGGAGTCTCGAAGAACTGGGAAATTTATCGAACTGCGTCGTGAATGGTCAACGCGGTTCGCTACTGCCGAAGATGGTGGTGATATGTATCGTAGGAGGTATCACCAATGCCGAAATAGCTGCTTGCAGATTTATAGAAAAGTCGACCGGGATTCGACTTGTTCTCGCGTCCGACAGCATAACCACTGGAAACAAAATACTCGAAACAGTTCAAGAGATATAATATCTAAAGACTGCCACGAAAATAAAACACCATTAATAATTAGACTGTGGATGTTTATGCAAAATAAATCTTTGAACCAAAATAGGAATTTATTTTACTCTGCGAATATTATACTGTATCCATTTTATAAATTTTTTATTAATACATAAAAATCCGCAGTCTAATCGACATCGTTTATTCTCGTACTGTAGAATTCGAATGTTTTATATGTAAATAGTAAAAATGAAAGATATGGAAGTATGGATAATTTCAATGGTACAGTGAAACTATACACGTTACTTTGTATACTGTTATTTCCAACATTATTTACATGAGTGCGTACACGATACAATGATCCAGTTTGTCAAACACCCAAGTAAATAATGTCCGATATTATCTGATTCAATAATTTCGATTTTCCTCTCGGTTACGGTCGCGATCGCGATCGCGATCGCGTCTTTGACGGCCCCAATCTTGTCCCTGTCTGTTGTAATTTTGCCGGTCGCGGAAGTTTCCTTGGTTTCCTCTCGAGAAGAAGTTTCCTGCAACAAAAGGGGCATTAAATAGAAAGCCTCGAAAGCGAGAAGACCTCTCCCAAGGTATTTCTTTCGATTACCTGGCTTCATTTCAAAGATGCGTTCGTTAGAGTCAACGAAATTGTTCACTTTATCCGTAAGCTGTAATGCCAGCGACTGGAGACGGCTTGGCTCGCTGCGATGCATCACGACGGTTTCCGTTGGGTCGTCCAAGGACGCCATCAGCTCCTCGTTGATGATCATTTTGCTGATGATAGAGTGGACGATGGGTCGCTTCAGTTGAAACATCTCCGCTAGCTTGGGCATAGAGATCGAATCGTAGACGTGCGAGTACGTGAACAGATACGTCCTCAGCGCTTCCTCCTTGATCAATCTCGTGAGCATGTCGCGTACTTTGTCCGCTTGGTAGAAGAGATCCCAAACTTTGGCGTTCATTTTCTCGTTGATGATGAAATTGTTGCACGCCGACCAGTTTCCATTGCGCATCGCCTTCGCCGCGGCTACGACGTGCTCTCTCATGGATTCTGGAGGGCCTACCAGAGACTGTCGTTCGCTCGACCTTAACTGTTGGTAGAAAGTCTTTGAGATCATTCTTCTTCTCGCGTCGAACTCGTGCGCAGCCATGTACGGGATTTCGATGAGCATAGCGGAAACCAAGTAGACGCATTCGAGGAGCTCCAAGTTGATGTGCATGTGGAAAGGCATCTGCCTCTGCTTCTCGATCTTCTCCTGCTCTTTGCTGCGCTCGTGTTGCCTCTGAGGAAGAAGACCCTGCGCTAGAAGCTCCTTCACCTTTCCTGTTACCATCAAATCAACCAAACAGTTGTGCGCGTCTTTGATGTTCGCGTGTCGGAACGCGCACAAGCCCAAGTGCGCGATCGTTCTGTTGTACAAAATTTGCGTGGCCGGGTCGGAGTGCTGAATAGTCTCCTGCAGATGGGACATTAGGATAAGGTCGCGCGCCTGGAACCAATTGTCGTGAAGAGCGTGGTGATAAATATGGGAGAGAATCGCGCGAGTTCTGAGCCTGTCCGTTCCATCGTGAGCGTAAACGTATTTACAAAGCTTCTCCATAACTTGAACGGACGTCACGACTTCGGGACCAATTTCTTTATCTTTTTGCTTGAGAACGTTCGGATCGAATTTGTAATACAGATGCTCGATTTTGCGTAGATACACGCGACAGAGTTCGGAAACGTTGCGTTGCCTTTCCAGATATACTTGGACTTTGTCTATTATTTCGGACACTTGCTTCTCGTCTTTCAATCTTTCGACGTATTCGTTGCTGTGTGGATCGCACTCCTTTAACAACTTGGTGAACTCCTCGTCTAATCGTTCCACCAACGTCAACACGCATCCGTGTATCTTGTACGGTGGATTCTCGAATTCCTCTCCTTCCTCGTTGATCACCTCCGAGATTATCATGTTCTTGGTCTCCAACAGCATGTCCAGCATCTCTGTTATACGTTCCAGAATCTTCGACCAATACTCGGGCTTCATCGCGTCTGAGACTTTAGGATTGTAATCGAAGATGGAGGAGACGATGGAGAACTTGATCTTCACCGCCACAGCTGGACCAAGATTGTGAGTGTCCGCTATGCATTGCAATTCGTGTAGCAGCTCGATCTGCTCGCGTCTGTCTGTACGCTTTTTGCCACGAGCCGCGATGATTTCGGAGAGCTTCTTCAGCACGGCAGCCACGTTAATTTCGGCGTCCTTCGCGAACATTTTAGGCTTCTCGGATGGAATAGCCACGCCGCCTTTAACAGTCTCCCATTCGCCTTCTCCGTCGTCTTCGTCCTTCTTCTTCTTTCGTTCCTTTTCTTTGCGCTCCTTTCGTTGTTCCTTCCGTTTCGCCTTATCCTCGTCTTCTTCTTTGTCAGCCGTCTTATTCTTGATGAATCGTTCTCGTATGTTTTGATATTGGCCCTCGTCCTCGCTGCTTGTACTTTCGCTATCCGAGGAGCTGCCCCAATCGGACTCGCTTTCGCTGCCATCTTCGCCATCCGTCACACCCTTCTTGAATTTAGATACATCCAATTCGCTCGCTTCGGAAGCAGATTTCTTGAAACCGCTTACTATACCGTCGTCCTCTTCCTCGGATTCTATCACTTCTTCTGCTAAAGTAAATACGAAGTATTACATTATTTTATTACGTAAAAATTTACACGCATTTATACGTCATGTGTCTTTACGTTTGTCTTCCTCTTCGTCGTCGTCTTGATCTGGATTTTCTCTGAACTTGGCTATATCTTCTTCGAAGTCTTTGTTATGTTTACGAAGTTTTTGCCGTAACGAAGTCAACGACTTTGAGTTGTTCTTCGACATGTTCTTACGTCCCTCGCGATCCTCCCACACTTCGTTGATAAAGTCCTCCATCTCTACCAAACATCGGACGTAGAAACGTGGCGTCTGGCCACTTTCTTCTTTTGTAATCACCGGCAATGCCTTTTGATAGGCACGCGTCAAATCCTCGAAACCTACGATCGTAAAGAAAATGGTGAATTCCGTTTTAATAATAAATTCCGTACTTGTAAGTGATGCTGATTATCATAAATACTTACTGGAAAGCATGCTACTCATATCTTTAATCTTCTTATAATTTCTTATTAGTTTGATCAAATTAGCGATTTCCTCGTATCTTTTCTCTTTTGTCGAGCGTACCACCCGCTTAGTTTCTTCTTCTTCATCGCTGAACTATAAAAAAAAAGTTAGATAAATAACCCTGGTTCGAGTAAAAATCTAGTTGGTAGGAAATTATATTTACTGTGAAGGCTGTAGCCGGTGCCCTCTGAATCTGCTCCTCCTCAGAAGCGCTATCAGACTCAGAGTCTGAACCAGTTGCAAAGAAACGACTCATATTGCTAACTTTACTGCAACATACAAGTCAAACACAGTTAATAGAGTTAATTAAGTACTTAAATGCGTTCTAAACCAAAATTGATTTCGTCAAAAGTTGACAAAATCACCTTTTGTTTACTAAAACACGATGCAGGAAAGCAATTATATACTCGTGTTGTCTTTAAACACATGGTGCAGTAACTTAACCTCTAAAGCTCAACAAAACGCTTATGAATAGATAGAATAGAAACTATCTTAAAAATATCAATTATATCTATTCTATGATAATTACCAACTATAAAATTATTCGTTTTCTTGTCCTTCAAAGGGCAGAATCACTGATAGGTTAGAATGACAACCAGCTGAACCAGCCGACATTAATGGCGGAAGCGCAAACTGGCACAGACCAATCAGAGAGTGACGTCACGCGTGTTTTTAAAACGAATAACTAAATTCGCTTTAATGATTTTCTTGATACGAATATCATTAAAATACATATCTGTTAATAGTAAATCGAATTATATTAATAATTGGATTTATTTGAGATATACGAAGTGGCGCCATCGGTGGGAAAACGTCCAAGCTTGTAGTGAAAATAGTTTCTACTGCAACCGCTAGATGGCACCACTAAGTAAATTATAGTTAAATTAAATAATTATTGATACAGATGATAAATTTGACATTTTTCATAACAGGAAGTAACAATAACAATTGAATTGTACAAAAAGAACATTTAGATTGTAAGCAGCGCCAATCAGTCGTAATACAATTGTTCAGCCATAGCTGTTGGTAAAGTAGAGCGGGAGATGTAAGATGGCGCTGCATCTTCGCATTTTGTGGCGCCATCTGGTAGCACCACTGAGAACTATTCGATGGTGCCATTTTCAAACCTCTTACTAGCGCACTCGACGTCAAATCGCCTAAGTTTGTAGATTCCAGCACGCGCTGATGGGTCTATTTACTTTTCTATCTTTCATGAGGATCTTGTCGAAAATTGCATATGGTTGCATGCATGTTTTGTTGTCGTGAGCAATATTATGTCCAGATGAGAAAACAGTGAATTCGCCTGTACGATAATATTTTAGCCGGGGTAGCAATGGGTAACCAAGTGACACGCGGGCATGCATCCACCAAGAAGACTGATTCCGTTGCGAATGCCGGCAATACAGCCAATGCAACTAGCCTTTCGAAAAGTTCCTCTGGAACAGAATTAGAAAACAATGCACACATGCAGTTCTTTCCGATCGAGAGCCTAGCGAAGGTATGAGGAAGTTGGCTTATAACTGCGTTACCGTATCACGTTCGTCGCGTATTCTAAAAGAGATGCATTTCCAAAGGGAACAGCTCGACGATCTTCATGAATGCTAGTCGTTTTCGCAAATCCTTTACATTTTCGAAGCTTGAAACGTCGTGTGCGCTTCATGAATGATTTACAGGTCATTCTTCAACGATCATCCATGAAATGTCATTATGTATCAACAAATGCTCCAATTTGTTTAACCTATAACCATGCTCCCGATTCAACACAATTTTCACAGATAACATTCACAACAAAATAGATCTGTGTAGAGCGCTGTTGGCTTCACTCAGATATTTCTGTAACTATGTCCCTGACATTGTATGCATTTTACAGACTCTGTCTCACTTGACTCACGACGAGGAACGTATAACCGGTATTACAAGATCTGTATTTCAACGGTACCTGTTCCCCAATTACCCGGAGTTAGGTGAACATTTGTTCAACTACCTGCATCACGTGGCCAACGTCAATACTTCCTATTTGAGTGCCAATGCCTTTAAGCAACAAGCTGAAAAGTTCCTCTCCGTGATGAACGATCAGATCATACTAGAAAATTATGTAAAAATGTATTCGAACATGAAGGGTGATGGAAGCGTCGGTCCGGATGGATTGAAGAATCTTCTGTACATTTCTTACAAAATTGCTATGGACAGTAGCGGAACCTCTTCGTGTATTTACGCGGAACAGATAATCAATGCAGTTATCATCTCGTGTGTCAGTAAATGTAACATTTATTACGATATTCCTATATTTATCAGTTTCCATACTATAAAATTTATATTACAGTTTCACGGCAAATATGCGTTATCTGTGAGCTTCGTGAGCAATTGGATTTCGCAGCACTGTCCACGTATAATACACGGTCCTCATCATTACATAGTACACGTATTGACGACTGCTTACCGGAACGGTAAAGTTTTGCTGTCCAAAGAGCAACCTCAACCGCACCTGCAGATACCAACGCCCATATTGGAGCAACCGGATATAGAATTTCCTCAAATTCTGCTCCCCGTGAGCTACGTATGGTTGTTGTCGAGTACGCTGCCAGAAAGTTACCTTCAGGTACATTTTAATTTAAAGTCTTTCTATATTTCGTTTCGTTGTATTGTTAAATAGCGGAAGAAACGTATGTTTAGGTGGTTGATTCGCCACAGGACGTTCCTCACGCTTTGATAGCCAAAAGGTTGGGCAGCGTGTGTCCTAGACATTGGGCGTTGTTGTATAATAGCTCGGAGCATGGAACAGGAGCCAACCGTTTTCTTCATCACGTTTTAGGGTACAGGGGTCCCACTCTGTTGTTCATAAGGGCTGTTAGTCCAGACAAGGACACGATTTCTCCTACGTATTGCATATGCTCGGCGGTAGAGTGGCGCGAGAGCCATTTGTATTGGGGCGATGAAGACTCGGTTGGCATCGAACTATTTCCATCGTACAGAGTTATAGAAAGGGGAGCCAAAGTACTCTATTTGAATACTAACATCCGCGGCTATCCCCACGGATTGCGGTTTGGGAGTAACACGCGTTCGCCATACATCAGTATAGACGAATCATTCCATTCGGTCAGTATCGCAGGCGCACCTTATCCAATCGCCAGTTTAGAAGTTTGGGGCTGCGGAGACACGAAGTTGAGGTAACGCGTGTATAGTTATGAGTATGATTTAAACAAATTTTAACGAAAACATTCACGGAAAAATGTTTTCAGGGAGCGTCAGCTGGAAATTAAAAAATGGCAGGTGAAGGAAGCGGAAAAGCAAAGGATCGTTAAATTGAGCGCCAGCGATTGGATAGATCATCCCGATCGTTACTTGCTCGAATTGGCGGGCAGGGCCTCTTACAACGAATCGAGTAATTAAGCGCGAGGTAGTACATACGATAGCACAAAGTTGATTCAGGATTTATAGTGGATTGTTTGTATATATGTATATATTATCAAACATACTATTATATCGATACGTACTTATGCCGTATATGTAAGATCCCAGATACTGTAATTTGTTCGGAACGTTTTATTTTAGAACGAGCAATTTTCATAAATTATTATTTATAATCCGTAAGAGTTACTTAAAACTTATCGTTAGATCGGAGTACTTACTTAAAAGACCTTGCGCAGTATATTTTAAAGCCGTACTTTTATGCTCAATAATGTTAGCTAATTTAAAGGATATATTGACACGTTCGAAACGAAGATGTGCTGTCTTATGCAAATTAACGATTGTACCTTTACAACAACAAATACAAAACCGATTGGTAATATCGAAAATCGTTAATCGTCGATAAAGTGAGATACGCGTATGCTCGCTGAAAGTAGGATCTCAGCGAATGTATATTAGTAGGTGCTGTTACACTTTTTCGTATGCTCTTACAAGTACATTTCGGCTGTTGCGTGCCTTAACGTTCGTGCCGTTTAATTTAATCTAGTAAATTGTGCATAATTTTTCGTAAATTTACACGTCCTTGTATTTTTCGAGCTGTGACCATTATAGCGTGCCTTATATACATACATACTGTTAAAAGACATCCGATAAGAGTAATCGAATGTTGCATAGTACCGAAACGCGTTTGTACGAAAAACGAACAATTACGATTGCACATTGGAAGTTACTTTGCCTTTGCAAATTGTCATATATTTATTATTTCGAATAGATGAGTACATTTTTTAGAATGCGATATTTGTATTTAAATAAACGATAGAAACGCCAAGTTTATATTTTATTTTAACGAACGTGCGATCAATGTTGCTCCTCGTCGCGTTATTCTTGAATTTATTTAGTTATTCTAATAATCGAAATCGAACTTCGACATGGTTTGTTCAAGAATTTATTAAGGTCAATTTAACAATGCTTCGTACATTGCGTTTCTACCAAGAAACGCGTGGAATTTGTTTATCTCATAACGAAGCCAATTTAGAAATAATATAACGGGCGCAAACGAATCGAAGCAGGTTCAGAAAATTCATAGTCATAGATTAACTCTTTAACATTTAGTAAATACCTATGTCAATGCAACTGCACTTTCCCAAGAAGTTTGACCAGTTTAAGAACCGACACGAACCATAAGACTCATCGTTTACGCTTATCGTATCGCGAAGATGTACGATACAAGGATATTACATATATAAGACATATTTACAAGTATTTAAATAAATATATAAAACTATATCTAATAAGTTTTATATTATTTACGTTGTCTAGGGGTACGGGTTTGCGCTACGAATAGAAGGTACATAAAATCCTAAGATACTCATTTGTCGAATAAAACTAAATACAGTAACGAGGTATAAAGATTAAAGATGCGCTTCACTGAATCTGGTCAAGTAAAGTGGTAAATAAAACTATCGGTAAAACCACTGGAAAAACCACCACCGGTACAACCACCTCCTGTATGGAAGGGATAACCGTTGTGTTGAGTAAAGAGCGTTTGGAAGGCTGCGGATTCAGCCATACCTGTAAACCAGGTAGAAATATTATTCTCTCTTTTAAAAATACCACACCGTAATTACCAACCTTCGAATCCATTATCGCCGTCTTCCACGTCGTGGCCGTTGTCGTAACGCGATCGCTTCTTAGGGTCCGATAAAATGCCATAGGCTTCGCCAACTTCTTTGAACTTCTTCTCTTGTTCCCTTTTCTCTCTTTCGGTTACGTTCGGGTGTCGATCTGCGAACAGCGGTAGGATCGAATGAGTACCCACTTTAAAATAAACGCGACTCTCAAGCTCACCTGGATGATGTACCATTGCTCTTTTTCTGTACGCTTTCTTAATGTCATCGGTCGACGCGTTTTTATCGATTCCTAAAATCTTGTAATAATCCTTTCTCTTCGATGCCTTCAACGCAAACTTTGCTTCCATCAGTAATCGTTTGTTGTCTATAAATCGAAGTTCAGAGTTACGCGACTGGAAGATTGTTTTAATAGCAGAAACAAACTGTTTACCGTACCGCGGCTCTTGTCCATTTTACACGCTTTCTCGAGATCGTGAACGGCTTCTTCGTATTCTTTAAGTTCCATGTAAGACGCCGCTCGTCTCAAAAGAGCCTTCAAATAATTCGCGTCTAATTGCAGCGCCTTTGTACATTCCGCGACCGATTCGGTTAAAAGACCCAACTGTAAAGATCCGGAAATTAATAACTCTCAAAAGCGAAGAAAAAAAAAAGGTGTAACGATACCTTTGTAGCTACTGTCGCTTTATTAAAATGAAGCTTTGCGTTCGTCACTATGTTTTGAGGATCTATAGACAACGCTTCGGTGTACAATCTGTATGCTTCTTGATACTGCTCTGTTTTGTAAGCAGCGTTACCCTCTTCTTTCTTTTTCTTTAGGTTCTTGGCTCGCTGCAAAATTATAACGGGATATAATACATATTTCAAGGGTTGTTCTAGCGCTTCTTACCTTGTATATTTCTAATGCCTTGGCATGATCCGGAGCCAGCTTGAGTACTTGTTGAAAATGCGTGAACGCTCTGTCGATATCATCTTGGAAGTATAAACACATACCGCGAACGTACAATGCGTCCACGTTTTGTTTATCGAACTGCAAGATCCCACTAAAACAGGGATACGAAGTGTAAGGTCTGAAATTATCTCAAACATCTAGGGAACAATGTAAAGTAACCGACGTACTTTGCAGTTTCTTGTGCTTCTTGGTATCTTCCTAAAAATGCTAAACATTCCGCTTTAGTCAGTTTGAATTGTGGACACGAAGTGCTTACATCGCAGCAACGGTCCATGCAGTACACGACCTATAAAAATTGAATCGATTATTTGTAATTCATTTATTTATAAGTATCGATAGTCTATTATAATAACGAAGAATCAGGAATCTAGATATTATATTATCGAATTTATCACGAACCTTTCGAAAATCCTTGGAATTATACGCAGCATCGGCATCTTTAAGATACCTTTGTACATACTCTAAATCTTTTTTTTCCGCAGCTATCGAATTATTATCAGGATCAAGCTCCAATAACTTTGTTAAAGTGGATTGAGCTTGACCAACGTCTCCCAAAACTAGGCAGCATCTTATCACTCTTCTGTAAGCCTAGAAATGTAAGTAAATTAAAATTAGAAACGAGATTATTCGTTTAATTCGTGCATATCGATACATAGCATACAACATACTTTGTAGACACTTGCATCGATTTCAATGCATTTTTTTGCATCATTCAAAGCGTCGTGATATTTGCCAAGCATCATATAGCACGCAGCTCTGTTTCCATAGTATAGAGAAGATTGTGGACTCAATTCTAAAAGAATATAGACGTTACTGATTTATTACATCACAATGTCAGAAATTCTTTATCAAAGTAAACTTTACCTATAAGTTCTGTATATTCGGTTAATGCTTCTTTGTATTTCTTTCCAGAGAACAATTCTTTGGCACACTCATTCTTCTTCTTCATCAACCTAAAATGACAAAGCATATAATTGTGAATTAATTAATTTGCAAAGTCATATTCATGAAAACATGAAGCAATTAGTAAACCCTTTGCTATTCTTATTACGTAACCCCATCACAAATCTTTTTTAAAATGTTACGAATAACACGGAATGCAAATAATTATATAAAAACATTGAAGATTCGTTTGAAAGGCATAGATACGTTTGATTAATCGAGAGTTGTCTCTTTGTACTTCCTACGTTTACAAACAATATTGCAGTATTAATTATGTGATGATAGTGCAAATTACATTACTCTAAATTACGAAGTCGACTAATTTAAAGAATGTATTGTGTAACGTTACATGAATAAAGACTGTTGTTACTTACTCTGCGACAGATTTTTCACAATCCATGTCACTGGCCATTGTATTTTATTTATTGTTTATCGAATTGGTAACTTTCGGAGCAGTCTTTCCAAGAAGCTAGAAAAGTTTTGCGAGCGGAAGTGGCATTCAACTAATCGTTACGGACAATGCGTACATAGTTTTCTGTTTCATGTCGGGATCGCGATTGCGTCTAAACCTGATATAATCGCTACAAAACGTGCTTCTCTTCTGCTCTTTGCTTAAGAAAGAGTCCTGCTCCCTTTGATAGTGCAAGCGGAAGGGACCGATTCTTTGATTCCTAATAACGATCCTGGGAATTTAGTGTTCCGAAACGAACTCTAAATGGGCTGAGCACGGAGTAGGTTAACAGAAAGGAAAGTTCTCTGAGAATCCTCGATGTTGACTATGCTTGTTACTAGAGGGAGGACGCCATGTTTGAGAGCGGAAACGGAGTAGCCAGACAAAACGCTCACTGAGCCGCTCTCTGAAGAATACACTAATATTTATTTATTTTATTATTTATTTATTGATTTATTTATGTGCGAATCTGTAGATATAATACAGTTTTAGGTAAAAATATTATAAATATTGGTAGCGGCATCTCCCATAGTGCCAAGAAATACCAAAAGTTGGCAAGACTGAAACTATCTTCATGACTGAAACAATTGAATGGCGAAAAGAATATCCAGTACGTGCCTATTCTGTGGCTTAGGAAATATACGCATGGTGAGAAAATAAAATTTCTTGCTTCCCGAAAATAAAATTCGAAACGCCAAAATTTGTAGTGTTAATAGTTCCAACTGTTGTCCCCAGATGGCGCCACTAACGGATAATAAATATGCATGGAAATTAGAAATTTACATGTTTATCTAATATACATAGCGTAATAAAGCATTGAATGGTATTAATTGGGCATTGATGACGAATAATAAATAATTTGTTAATTGTTAGCGGTGGCGTCATCTAGCGGCAAAGCGCCCAAGTTTGTAGTGCCAACAGTTTCAGTTAGATGGCGATGCAAAATTTTTTATTCATAAAAAAATGCATAATTAATACGATTCTTTGCTTTATAATGCTACAATACTTTAGTTAATATATGAAATTTATCATTTTTATGCATATTTATGTAATACATCTTTGACGCCTCGTATATACCAACTGCTGACAACTAAAAACATGGTTTCCATGTATGTCATTTACATTCGTCCATGTTATGCTGCATCGCGATTAGTATAACCCTAACTAACTGCACTAACCCTGCAGAAAACTGAATAGAAGCTTTGAAAGCGCAGGTTTTTACTCATTTTTCCCTTTTTCTAATTTTTTTTTACATTTCTCATTACATCAGAACGTCAGTAGTTATCGTTCTAAATACATTAACTCAAAGATGTGTTGTGATGCAATGTATACGAATTTGACGGACTGCCGAGAAAACCTAGGACTCACAGTGCTTTAATATCGGTTTTCTTCGCGTTTTGGTATTTATTGCATCTTCGAATGTCATCGTTTGCAACATTTAAATACTTTTAAAACGGTGCAATTGATTCTAACCTGTTGAAGGTTGCAATTATGCGTAGCTACGAAGGTTATGTTTTTGTTTGTCGTTGTTCTTAGAAATTGTATGTACAATTCTTGAATGTAAACGTACATACTTATTCGATAAAATATTGTAATACTTATTTTCATGCAGATAAAAATCTAATCGATCTTTTCTGTTAGGGCAGTTACCAAAGAGATATGGCGCAAAGGTTTCCTGTACCTAATGCAGGGAATAATGGCCCACCGCAACAAAGATATGCAGCATCGTCTGTACCTCCAAATTTACGACAGTATTCAGGCCCAAATTTTCCTGTAAGTACATGTACTTTGGCAAATATCAACTTGTAACTATGTTTAGAGCTACATTATCTACAATATAATTTGTTGTATAGATGCAACAAAGATCTGGGTTCACACCACCTCCACAGATGGCTGCCACCGGGCCTGGTCCAGCTAGTATAATAAGAGCGAACCAGCCTTACTCCAATATGCGTCAAGGCCCGATGCCTACTCCCCCGGTTGGGAAAAGAAGTGCGGATCAACGTATACCCATGTCACAGCAGAAACCGTAAGTATACCAACATTGCATGCCTTAATTTTAATTTCACATTTGTATTTTCGTCGTTACGCTCATCGACCTGCCATACTACTTTGATAAATCAAAGAAAACGAGAAACCTAATAGTCGTAATTTTGTACACGAGAAAGCAATATATTATTCTATGTAAGGCAAAAAGATTTAAAATATGAAATAAACATTGAGAAGTCTTTTGAAATACCTGAAATACACGCATCGTATCATTTCGATTATCGTTATCAAAATAATAATGTTGAAAACCATTTACCAGGAACTTCACTGCATTTCATAAGCTTCAAAATTGGTTTATTGATTTTTGAATCTATGATTTTTACACAAACTCATTTAGGTATTTTTGGAACAGTGATTTTTCACATTCCACATCCAAGAAGAAGAAAAAGCTGGCGGACAAAATATTGCCGCAGAAAGTGCGCGATTTGGTGCCCGAATCGCAGGCTTACATGGATCTACTCGCATTCGAGAGGAAGTTGGATGCAACCATAATGCGGAAACGGCTGGATATACAAGAAGCCCTCAAACGTCCTATGAAACAAAAGAGAAAGTTGCGAATATTTATCTCCAACACTTTCTACCCGGCGAAAGAGGCTGGCGAAGGAGAAGAGGGGTCTGTCGCATCATGGGAACTCAGAGTCGAAGGACGGCTCTTAGAGGACACCAAAAACGATCCTAACAAGGCAAGAAATTTTGCGTAAAACTAAATAAAGCGTGAAACATGAAGTATCTGAACTCACGTTAAAACTTTTAGGTGAAGAGGAAGTTTTCCTCGTTCTTCAAAAGCTTAGTTATAGAATTGGATAAAGATCTGTACGGACCAGACAATCACTTGGTCGAATGGCACCGTACGTTAACGACGCAAGAAACTGATGGATTCCAAGTGAAGAGACCCGGAGATAAAAACGTCCGGTGCACCATTCTTTTGCTACTCGATTACCAGCCCTTACAAGTACTGCTCTCTTGTCTTTTTAAATCGAACAGTTATCAATATATCTGAAAAGAATCGACGGGGCTGCTACTGATCAATCATTTCTTGTTTACAGTTTAAATTAGATCCCAGATTAGCACGACTGTTAGGTGTACATACGCAAACGAGACCCGTCATCATTTCCGCGCTCTGGCAGTACATAAAAACCCATAAACTTCAAGACAGCCACGAAAGAGAGTTCATAAACTGCGATAAATACTTGGAGCAAATATTTGCTTGTTCGAGAATGAAATTCGCGGAGATACCACAGCGTCTAAATCCGTTGCTTCATCCGCCTGATCCAATTGTAATTAATCACGTCATTAGCGTAGAAGGTAAGCAATAATTTCATTCGATAATAATTGTTAAGATACGTTTACTAAAAAATAATCTATGATTCGTATCAGGTACGGAAACTAAGCAAACCGCGTGCTACGACATAGACGTCGAAGTGGACGACACGTTGAAAACGCAAATGAACAATTTCCTGCTATCCACTGCGAGTCAACAAGAGATTCAAAGCCTCGACAACAAAATCCACGAAACGGTCGAGACGATCAATCAGCTGAAAACGAATCGAGAGTTTTTCTTAAGTTTCGCCAAGGATCCTCAGCAGTTTATCAACAAGTGGATCATATCCCAGACGAGGGATTTGAAGACTATGATAGACGTCGTTGGGAATCCGGAAGAGGAACGCAGGGCGGAATTTTATTATCAACCCTGGGCTCAGGAGGCTGTTTGCCGATACTTCTATACGAAAGTTCAACAGAAGCGCGCGGAGTTGGAGCAAGCGCTTGGTATTAGGAATTCATAAGCGTTATCGAAATACAGTAATAATTTTGAGACATAACTATGTAAAGTATTTATGCGAATCTTTTTCTTATTCCAATTACAATGTGTCTTGCGCTTGACTTGCCAATTTAAAACGAGGAGAATGAGAATCTGTGTGGGACACGTTTACATATACCGAATGGCTGCAGACGAAGCGAAGAACACGACCCTCCTTGACAGTTAATATTTTGTAAAATAACGCGATCGAAAGTATAATTTTATGTCGAAAAGACGATATTTTTGTAACGGTATACGCGAATAGAAAATGTTTTAGCGTATACATTTCTTTTTGCCGTTGTTCGGTATACATAAACGCACCTTTAAATTACCTACTATTTTCACGTCCTATTTGTATCTTTCAAATCGCGTCATGAATGCAGGAATTTCATTTTGCAATCGGTGTAGAGGTGTCTTTCTTTCTTAAGAGTGTCGTGGATTGATTTGATTTAGTATTACGCGAGAACATTCCAAGCATTCACACGTGACAAGAAATTCCATTACAATGGTATACATTAAATCGCCTTCTTCTTTTGTACGAGACATTTTCAATTTCTTGTAAATGATTCACCGAGAAAACGATGTTGAAATACATTATTACAATTGGATAAGATTTTCTTCTTACTTTCGAGACACTAAGCCGTAATGATATACAAAACATTCTTCGCACGCTAACAAACATTACGTTTAAAGCACCGATCACGCTCTCTTAATTAGATGATGCATCTGAAATGTCAATTAATAGTACGCATACGTGTTAAAAATTTGTTCGAAAGGAGAAGATAACATTTCATATGCATCGACTTAACACCTTATCGCATAACGTAGAACAAAAGAACAAAGATTTTGATAGCGTTACTTGTTCCGATTATAAAATTTAAAAACTTCATAATTTCGATTCGGTGAACATAACTCTATCGAAGATCGCATATTCTTTACAACACTAAATCACAAGTGCACGAATTGATTGTATTTTTTTCTAATACGATAAGCTTTGATTGAAGTTTGGCGTATTCGTTCGATGGTTGAATGGTATTATTCACTCGTCCAAATGGACCGAACACGCCATCGATTGCACGCACGAGATCAAAGTTTATCGTATACGTTTATTCCTAATCTTAATTACACATTCACATATATTTCATCGTATAAAGTTTTAAATATACATGTATGGGTGACGAGACGAGTTGAACGCTGTTAATTAGCCGTTATTCGCCCAAATTGTATGGAAGTTTAAGGGTAGACAAGTAGTCTAGACACATTTTCCTATGGTGACGACAAGTCCACAAAGATTACATTCTGCCATGTTGCCAACGAATGGCAAGCGAATCTCTGTACACCCTAATATCTCGTAAATAATCATGATTCGTACATTTCGCTAGTCCTTGCTTGGATAAAACCGTTTCCATTCCTCTTCCATGACCTTAACACGTTGACTGCCAGATCAGTATCGACCAAGATTGTCGAACAGTCTTACAATCCATCAAAAGTCATGAATCGTAGCTACATTTAGTTGTACGATATTGATTCGAATGAAACTGGATAAAACTGTTTCTTTAGTGTAAATTAGAGACTCGAATTTTACAGACACACTAGCATAGCAAAAACTTGTACCGATCCAACAGGAATGATGTGGCGGTCAATGTGTTAGCTGGGGATTAATAACGCTACGATCGATTTCTTTCGTTTTGTTGTTTTGTGTTGCCAAGACGTGTTGCAAAGTGATCACATTTTTGGTATTGCTTTACATTCTATCCAACGTGAACACAAAAGTTCCTTTTGCGTAGTGTGTTTGCCAACTTCTCAGTTCGTTCGACATCCGATACTATGTATACGTTCATTAATGATATATCCATCGTAATATCTTATTTGTCGTGTAATTTCTGTACGCATCTAGTTTTGAGAGGAAGGTAAATTCCATTTGTGCAGTCTTTTGGTACAATATTAAGTAATAATTCGAGATACATTCGGTGTAAGAGATCTGTGTGTTTTCGGAAGTTTATGTCAAGTTTGCTTCCTTCCTCTTTTACATGATTGTTGATGGTAAATGACAGTCGATAAACCGTATAAATGTCACCTATAATTGCATACTATCGTGACAACGACTCTCTTTAATGATTCTTTAAAATTGGTACGTTTTATAATTTAAAAAAGTATAACAGGTACGTCATAAATAAAAATTTTAAATCGTGGAATTTATAACATAATTATATAAGTAACAAAGTAATTAAAAAAAATGTAATAATAGATCTAAGATTGCTAAATATTTATAAATATTAAAGGAACCGATAGCAGAGTAATTTTCAATACTGATTCGGTAGGGCAGCAACAATAGGTGTCATTTCCACGTTTTAATTAATTACTATGCCAGCGATAAAATCATCTGAAACATACACGCTTTTGCTACGTAATATTATCAAACAGATTTCTTCTTTAATTCGTACAAGCATTCGATGCGAAATTTGTTCATATTACTCCCTTAAAGTATTTTCTAAAATAAATAAAATCGTGTTAATTGATTATACTACTAGAACATAGGAATATTAACTGTTAGAACCCAATCGTATTCTCAGTTGGGATAATTCGATAAACATAGGATATGTATAGAAATCATTTGGTATAGTTACAACGTTTGGAAGCATTGTTAGTCGATCCTTAACAACATAAATATTACTACGAATGATTGGAGTATAGAAGGCATACAAAACTAGAGTGTAGAAGAACAAACTTTTTCTATTATACATCACATTGGATGGATCGTACAGCAAGGCAGTTGTGTACTGTGAGGTTTATTACTTGATATGCGATGCGCACACAAATAACTAACAAAGTTAGCCATTGCACTGAGATAAGTCAGATACTAATGCTTACGATTTCAATATGAAATAATACACGCTAGAATAAAAATGTGCAGAGTCATTTTAATGTTTTTCCCCGTTAAGTTCTATCCAAGTAATGATAAATTGGCATTTGAGTTGTACGTGCGCAACTCGTTAAGGCTTGAATATGTCTTTGACTCGTTCCAAATCTGAGCAAATTTGTTAATGCTTCAAAAAAGTCCTTGCAAACACGTAAGTGTTAAGAAGAACGTGAAACTTCTTCAAAGTGTTTTAGCTTTTTCGAGTAAATCATTAATGAATTTCTGAAACACATAAACAACTTGTGTTAGTAACAATTAGTACAATAGTTTGTACGCGAATGTTACTTTCGAAATATTACGGAGGATAAACCGTGTTTAAGCTACGTTGCTCTACCCGAAATTCCTTGTGCTGTTTTTAAATAAAACATCCTAAATTAATAAATTAGTCACACAGTATTAAAGAGTCACGCTAATTTGTATGTAAAAGATTGTACAAATGGTTTATATCTTCGTAACGCGGTTAAATACGATAGGCAGTGTGGTTTAAAGTCCAGTTCAGATTGCGATTTATGTCATTGTTACATTTTTCAATAAAACTTATATATGCAAGAGTCCAAACTATCATTTCATAAAAGAAACATTTATTTTTCTACCTAAAAGATAGCGTAACCCCTTAAACTTTGGAGAGGGAAATATTATTCCACTGCTAAACCAACCAACACGTATTCGTTTAAAAGAATATTATAAATCTACCAAAACACACGTATTACTTACGTTTATATCATGTGGAGGCTTTTTGGTATCGACCAGTAGTTCCTATAAATAAAATAAAATAAAATAAAATAAAATAAAATAAAATAAAATAATTATAAACGTTACCTCCTTCTACCAATTCTAATAATTATATAATATACATTTACATACTTGCAGAAATCTTCGTCTATGATCGTCGCTATCCATATCAAGAAGTTCATCTATATCGATTTCGACTTCTCGATTTTTACCACTGTCATTCTGAAAAATGGAAGATTACATTAAGCATAGACTAAAATAAAATTTATAATTAAAGGAAAATGACGTACAAACTTACAACTGTTTCGTATAATTTTTCTAGTTCATCAAACAACCACATTTCCACTGCCAGTCTTTTACGAATAAGAGACATCTGATGAGACCCATACTTGGCTGTCAGGAATTTCTCTCTGCGTTCTTTCACTTCTCCTTTCTCTGTGAATGCTACATGTAGATTCGCGCGTGCCGGGCTACGTTCAGCGGTAAGTACCCCACCTCCTTCCATTATAAAATTACCTAGGAATTTGAAAAAATCTATAGTCAGTTTTAAGGAGACATGATTAGATAAATTAATTAAAGGATTAAATTCTAGAGGGAGAGAGAGACTTTATTATACGTAGAATATTATACTCATGTTACAAAAAGGTAGTCATATACATCAAAGGTATACTGAGATCTTAACTGTTTATTCAAGTTGGGAAAAAATGAATGCATGTGTGAACCACATGCTACAATAAACAAAGGGGCCCCACGATCTCTTTTAATTAACGCTATTGAATGCAAATGTAACCTCGGTGGGATGCGACGCCGTGACTTACACTCAAGAAATTTTCGAATAAGAGTACAACGAACGGTTTGGTAAAGTAGAATATGATATATTTAAATGAAATAAGAAAGCAAGCAAACGGTGATGATGAAAATAAAGCAATAGGAACGAATCAATTTACGTTTGGCGTTTTAATAAAAGATTAGCCACTCGTTATCGTACGTATAAACAAAGTCTGAGTCTACGATTCCGCTTCTGGCTTGCAAATCGAATTAAAAATATAATTGGCGAGCATTTCTACGATTGCTTAATGGTACTTACTCGCTCTGGCTTTATTTCACTCTATTTCAGGATTAATACTATTCAAGCCGCAACAGTATCGCAATACCAGAATCCTTACGAATAATAAACTTTTCTAAAGGTAGCAGAGAGTGTTAGCATTTTTCCACTAGCCAGTATTACCACCAGATACACACGATTATTCTCTAATTCAGTAATATCGCGAGCTCGAAAACTTTCGATCTATTCGCGACAATCGACTTGCGATCGATATGGTGCAATTTCAAGGCGAACAAATTCTTTTTAAATTTGAAGATTTACATACAAAGTATTGTCATAAACGTACACAAGTGACAGAGAGATTAGAACTTGTTTGAACAAGTAAATAATTAATAGAAGGTTACGCAATAATTATGGGAGCAAGAATTGATGAAAACTATTTATTTAGAAATTCAATCTTGACTCGCATCAACATTCTCTGTTTGTAGACCTTTGAAAGTAGCAACTGGGATGTACGTAACGAGAGTGTACAATTTATTCGCGGAGTCCTCGTCGTCGTTTCTCCTTCTGCTTAGTCGTACACGAACTCTGAATGGTACATTCCTAAATAACACAATGTTTAGATCAGTAAATAATGTAATATGACATTATACGTAATCATTATATGTGTACAGATTATAATATAATTATATATAATTTTAGATTATACATATGATACATATGATTATTCACCTAATTCCTTTGGACCAAAGTTGTTTGTTAAGCCTAGTATCGATCCTCACATCTGGAGTACCCATTTGTTTCTCAGCAAACTTGCGTATCTCTTTAATTGCTCGTGGAGCACGTTTCTTAAATCCAACACCATGAAGGCGTTTGTGAAGGTTCACGGTGTATTCGCGAGTCACTACTTCATTGATAGCGCTCTTTCCTTTTTTCTCTGTAGACTTGGCCATTTCTACCTGAAAAGAAATATTGGAACTTTACTATCACAGCATGACATAACCAAACAATTAAAATTCGTTAAAAAATTCAAGGAATCGTAGACAGTATACAAAGATTTAAGGCATAGTTGCACAGAATGAATTATTAAGGCGAAATAATATAATTTTCAATTAATTCAGATTATATTAGTTCATAAATATAACAGTAAACAAAACCATCAACTTATACTTTCGTAGGAAGCATGTGATATTCTAGGCTGATAATATTAACATTGGATTGTCGTACATTTATTAATTAACGTAATTGTACCGAAACTTATTTATTATTCAAAATTCACAGCCAGATGTTTCACGATTCTATTTTATGCAAGTCTGACATTACCTCTCCGACTTATGGTTCGACGCAAAAGAACTAAAGATTCTAGTGTTCCTAAACTCATACTTTTTATGTGTTGGAAACGTTTTTAGGTTAAGTGAGCGTTCACGGAGCGGCTCAGTAATCGGTGGCCTCCTATTAGTTCGTTATTCGTTATTGCAATATATTAAAATATATTACAGTATTTATTTGAAATGTTAAGTTTAATATTTCCATGTATTTAATATTTCTTAATATACGTTTCTTTCAGTATTATAACAAGAATTTTACCAATTACACTAAAAATTGCGTTGTTTACATGAAGATTGGTTTGAATAATAAAGATGTCGTACTAGACGTAATCTATGACGTAAGGAAGATCGCGCCACGATAGCTTCGAGGACGCTTGCAATGGCGTAAAATGGAGTCTATTAACCTGTGATGTTGATACGATTGTTTTTAATCACAAAAAGCTTTTCATGGAATTAAAATGGCTGGTAAAGTGTGGAATTCAGAATTATGGAAAGCATGGGATAAACATGGGAAAAATGATTTGTAAGTGGTTAACGCGTTAACGTCAGAAGTGCGTTCGATTAATATTGAATTGATACTGCATACTCTGTGCAATTGATGGTTGCAACTTATCTCTCCTGTTTCTCGCTCTTCTGAAGAGTTAATTGTCAATTAACAACTGTTTGCAGCCTCAAGTTAATCAAGCACAAATTTAAGGAAGGCAACACTACAGGTGAATTTTCATTGTCTTACCATTTACCTTGCCAGCTTGGGTACCATGCTGCATCAGTGTAACACTTTGTGTACATTACGATCTCATGTTTACGTCTCCTCACTCTTGATCATACTTTATTTGCAAAATTTCTGACTTACATGGGTATTAAATGTTCAAAACTAGCGTATCGTTATAAGAAACGTGGCAAATCTATCATTGAATTTACTAGACTTACTAGAATTATCGATTTTTGAGCATGTTAAGCAGTTTTCGCATGGTGTTTGTTTTCCTTCTAGAATGGAGAAGAGGATTATACGAATTAATATCGAATGGAATCCGTGGGAACATAAAGAGGGACAATGTAGTCCAGACATTAGGTGAACTGATGGTAAGAATAATTAACTATGGACCATAAATACTACCACACCGCATTGAAAATCAATCAAATAAAATATATTTCTTTCCAGAATATCGATGGGGCAATACCATCCGCGATAGTAGATATATTTACGTTAATAGATGTGGAAGCACATAACGAAGAAAGAAATAACTTTTATTATATTGTGAAAGAAGCAGAAAAGGTATTTTATTAGATAAATAAGATTGAACTACCTATGGTCCACGAGAAAGAATTCACAATGACATGATTAATTTATGTGGTATGCTTTTTGCACAGTTTCTAACAGATAGGATATTAAAGGAAAGATTAGAAATCGATACCTTACAAGACGTAGGAACCCTGAAGAATAAGAATTTCCAAACCAAATTTATCAAAGTGAAGACAAAATTGTAGTATGTATTTTTCATCCGATAGTATAATACTTTCTTATCCAATACTAGGCTTGTATAAAGTTTATATCTTCTTACAGTTATAAACAACGTAAATTTAACTTATTTAGAGAAGAAAGCGAAGGTTATTCTAAACTTATAGTGGAATTGAATCAGGAACGTCCGGAAAATGAAGTACCATCGATACTAGAAATTGTTAAATCTCTCATTGGTACGTGCATAAAACGTTATTTGCTCTAATACGATTTATCATGAAGTATTTGGTATCGTTTGAATTCCATACAGAACTATATATGTATCATTCTTGTAGGATATTTCAATTTAGACCCTAATAGAGTACTCGACATTTTATTAGAAACTTTTGAAAATCGACCTCAGGACGATGCACTTTTTATTCCTTTAATTCGTTCGTATATGAGCGACCAGCAGGTGCTCTGTGAAGTTTTAGGATTTAAATATTGTTGTACCGTCAATGCTACTCCGTTTTCATTACAAAAAGTTACTGCGCTAATGTTGCAACACGGTGTCATCAAATTGGACGATATATTGCCATGGTTAGTGCCAGACGATAGGACTATTATCAAAGAACACGAGCACGCGATGAAACTAGCGAAAGAATATGTTCGCAAATTGAGCATAATCTCTACTAAAGATAAAGAAGAAGTCTTGGAGGAGAAAGAGAACCTACAGGTACACGAACGTGCAATTTCATCTCGAATAGCGTTGGCATCGATAAAATTTTTATTTTTGTCGTTTCTTTCCAAAAGGATAAGTATTCGAGTAATCAAAAGTTCGGATTATGCGAAGCACTTTTAGAAATAGGAGCTTGGGAGGTGGCACAAAACTTATTCGGTAGATTACCAGAACACAGTCTCACAGATCAGCGTCCTATCGCGTTAGCGTTGTGTAAGATGATACAGGCTCTCATCGAACCCGTTTACCGCAAGTAAGTCTAGTTTTATTCATCATTGACATCGAATACGTTGTTACGATTAAATTATGGTACTGTGTTATTGTGTCGTACTTCAGATATTGCATCATATCGCCAAAAATACAAGGCAGAAGAATTCCTCCATTGAAGAGCTCTCTCGCACCAAAATCCTTAGAAAGCCTCGAACATATACACGATCAGCTGTTACCAATGCTCATAGTTCTCGGTCCCAATTTACACCACGACCCTGTTTTAATGTACAAAATCATGAGATTATGTCACGTGGTTATCAAGCAGTGTCCATTGGACTCGAACAAGCAGCCCGTCGACAAAAACAACAATCTCTACTACGATGTACTGACTATCCTCGACGTGGCGCTGTTACCCTCATTGTCTTTTATGGATTGCAATTGTTGCGTCGCGGAAGAATTATGGAACATTCTAAAATATTATCCATATCAAAATCGATATTGCTTGTACGCTCGCTGGAAGAACGACACACCATTGCAGCACGCTGCTCTTCTGCGGAAAAGAGCTGACGCGCAGAAGATGATCAAATCTATCATGAAGAGAGTGAGCAAGGAAACTATCAAACCTGTGGGAAGATCGATAGGGAAATTGACTCATTCGTCGCCTGGTGTATTATTCGATTACGTTCTTATACAGATTCAGTTGTACGATAATCTCATAGGTATGTAGATAATCTCGCGGGAATCATGTACTATCTAGCAGAGTTGGATGTCATCAGTTAAAAGTGTTACTGCGATTTAGTTACTGCCTCCCAGACTTTCGTGTTAAACTCTTTGATCGTTTCGCGTGTTACAGGACCTGTTGTAGATTCTTTAAAATACCTGACGAATATTTCGTACGATGTACTCGGTTACTGTCTCGTGGAAGCTTTGGCAGGCGCGGATAGAGATAGATTTAAGCACGATGGCACCAGCATATCCCTCTGGCTCCAATCTCTTGCTTCTTTCTGTGGAGCCATATTCAAGAAATATAATATCGAACTCACCGGTCTGTTGCAATACGTAGCCAACCAACTTAAAGCACAAAAAAGGTAATTCGAGTAAAATTAATTTTTTAATATATTCTACATACAGGTTACACCTTTCTTTAAAAGCTAACGGCAATATTCTGCGATAAGATTCGTTGTTTGCAATTTCAGAATAATTCCACGTGAAAATATGAATCGAGTATCGCGTGTACTGAAGATTTTTTAATTGCAGCATACATATATAGTAATAATAAATTTCAAGCAATGTGTAAATTCATTTCAGCTTAGATTTGTTAATATTGAAAGAGATAGTACAAAAAATGGCAGGCATCGAAGCCGCGGAGGAGATGACTTCGGATCAGTTGGATGCCATGGCGGGAGGAGATTTATTGAAGAACGAGGTAGTATTAGTAAATAATAATTAATAACTAGTCAATTTTATGCAAACATGCGTTCATTACTAAAATATTTTCTAGGCTGGTTACTTTAGTCAAGTACGTAACACAAAGAAATCATCTCAACGATTGAAAGAAGCTCTCGCCGAACACGATCTCGCTGTAGCTCTGTGTCTTCTGATGGCGCAACAGAAACATTGCGTCGTGTACAGAGAAACGGATAAATCTCACCTAAAACTCGTTGGTAAGCGATCCCGAGAGCTGAATATTTAATAGATTATTTAATAGATTATTTAATAGAAATTTATAAGACTATAATTTAACGTAAAATCGCAGGAAAGTTATACGATCAGTGTCAAGACACGTTAGTTCAATTCGGAACGTTCTTGGGTTCGACGATGACGGTTGACGAGTACGTGGAGAGACTTCCCTCCATACATTCTATGCTCCAGGACAATCACATACATTCTGACGTTGCATTTTTCCTCGCGAGACCCATGTTCGCCCACGCTATTAACGTAAATCATCGACGTGTTTTAAATAAACTGAAATTCATTTCTTAGAGTTCAAATTCATCTGAATAATTCTTTCAGATTAAATACGACGCGCTGCGTAAAGCAGACCCAAACTACAAGAAGATGTCGACTACTATGAAGCAAGCGAAATACGCAGAAGCTGCGCAAGCAGTCATGGCGCCTGTCGCGCAGTCCGTTAGACCTTTGCACCCCTTGAAAGTATGGGAAGACATTTCGCCGCAATTCTTGGTGACATTCTGGTCGCTGTCCATGTACGATTTGTACGTCCCTGTTGAAAGTTATCAGCGCGAAATTAACAAGCTGAAGCAACTCGCGATACAGAGTGCTGACTCGAAAGACGTGGTACGTCGATGTGTCTTCGTGCCACAAAATTGTATTAATTTTTAATTCTATTTATTTTAGTTGATGTATTCTTTCCAGAATGTTAGTAAAGGAAAAAAGGAACAGGAAAGATACACTACGTTAATTGAGAAATTGCAAGATGAAAGGAGAAAACAGGAAGAACACGTTGAAAAAGTATTCGCGTATCTGAGGTATAATTATATACATTATGTCATACTGAGACTGAAACGAGCGTTAGTAATTTGCCTAATTGATCCATCAGACAAGAAAAGGATTCGTGGTTCTTATCTCGGAGCGCCAAATCAGCAAAGAACGAAACGATAACCCAATTTCTACAACTGTGCCTGTTTCCTCGCTGTACATTTACCACTGTGGATGCCATGTATTGTGCAAAGTTCGTTCACACTATACATTCATTAAAGACTGCGAATTTTTCGACGCTTCTTTGCTACGACAGAGTAAGTGCGATCAGCAAAGGAACACCGTCGCCTGGAGCTACATAAAACGTTCACTCTGTACTTGAATTTTCCAGCTTTTCTGTGATATAACGTATTCAGTTACCTCGTGCACCGAGAACGAAGCGAATCGTTACGGAAGATTTTTATGCGCCATGTTGGAGACAGTAATGAGATGGCATTCGGAGAAAGCCATATTCGATAAGGTATCGCTTTTATTAATTAGTTTTAAACACTCGAACGTGTTCACACGTCTCTCTTGCTTGTAGGAATGCAGCAACTATCCTGGATTCGTGACAAAGTTCCGAGTTAGCAATCAATTCTCCGAAGCGAACGATATGGTAGGATTCGAGAATTACAGACACGTCTGCCACAAGTGGCACTACAAAATTACCAAGGTATTGTATAAGGATATTCGATCATTTCTCTCGAGTACTAAAATGATTACATGTTACAGGCTATAGTAGTCTGCTTGGACTCTAAGGATTATGTACAAATAAGAAACTCTTTAATAATACTAATAAAAATATTGCCACACTTTCCTGTATTGGCCAAACTATCCCAAATCCTCGAACGTAAAGTCGAGAAAGTCAGAGAAGAGGAACGCGGACAACGTCAGGATTTACATGTCCTGGCCACTTCCTACAGTGGCCAACTGAAAGCCAAAACCCCGAATATGATTCGCGAAGCAGACTTTCATCACGTGGGAGATAAGGTTTGTACTTATGGCCGATTTGTTTAGCGAATACTCGTAGCAATATAATTTCTACGTAGGCGGGAAAGACGCAAGATGCTCCAAGCAACGATGTGTCGGAAAAAGTCGGCGACGGAATGTCGAGTAAAGAGATCACCAACGGCGACACTCGAATGGAAAAGGAAAATAAGGATCAGCGGGAGAAACGAAGCGCGTCGAATCAAATACATCAGTAAGTTACATAATGGATATTTAAATTCTTTTCTACGCAATGCTAGGGCGCTGTAACGTTTTCTGTTTCTAGCGAAAGTTCCGAGAAAATCAGGAAGAAAGACGAGAGCAAGGAGAGTTCGGATGGAAAGGACAAGCACGCGAAAAAGGAGGAAATTAAGGAAGACGATCCTATAGATAAAAAGGATAGAAAATATTATAAAGTAATTGCATACTCTATATGAACTACTGTGTAACATTCGAGGAACTTATCGTTGTTTAACGCTAACTAAATTACAGGAAGAACATTATTACAGCAGCGGAGTAGACAATTTAGATCGAGATCTTTCTAGCGTATCAAACAGTAGCGCTAGTTCTGGACCAACGCAGGATGGATCTGACAGAGGTCTGTATAAAAATATTCAAAATATTATCGAGATGTATTAATCTACGTTTAATTTTAGATGCAAAAAGGAGAAAAGTTGAGAGCATACAGAAGGTGAGAACCTTTGCATTCCGTTGATTCGTTTCTTACCTTGTTGTAAATCGACTTGTTGTCGTTAGCAGGAAGGCAGACGCGCAGAAGGCAATTTAGACAAGAAGGAGCGTTCGAGTAAGGGGAAAATAAGGGACGAACAAAAAGAACTGCGCAAAGAAAAGAAATTGGGTCGGAAAAGGGTACGTCTCGTATCTAGAACATAAGTTCATTTCATTTAGTATATAATTGCATATAATTTTCGTATGAAAACAGGACAGAGCAGACGATTCAGCCGTCACAACCGAACAGAAAAGAAGAAAAGACGACGAAAGAGGTATACACGTTCGCCTCGCCGATACAAATTTATTTTAAATCATATTTTTACATCAATGAAAATATTTTTAGCCAAAGGAGCGCATCAAAACGGTGATATTCCAGAACACAGAGAAAAACATCATTATAATAAGGTTGGTAGTTTCAAGTTGAAGTTTCCATTATCTCTAGTAAAGAAAATATAAATTGCTTTTTATCAGATCGATATTCATTCAAATAAGTCAGAGTATAATGCGCTATAAACATTAGCAATTTTATTAATTTTTCGTTTATGTTATTTGAATGATTTTTTCGATATTCGTATAAGCTGTCATCGTTAACGAGTCGTAAGTAGGTCATTAGTTGCCCTCCCTGTAATTATTAAGTACGAAAAGGTATAGACGAGAAAGGAAACGCGTCTGTATTCGATAAGAATATTCATTACACGTCGCAATAACATTACACATTTTTTTTAAAAATCCTATAACATCACAGTTTATTTTTTTTTTTTTTTTTTTTTTTTTATATTTATTCCAACATTCTGACATCAATTAACTTTTAATCGTTTTTCTAACACTATTCCTTGACCCCTTAGTTGATAAAGACGTCCGCTTCGAGTACATTGAAAAGACGAAATGGGAGACAATAGCAAAGACCAGAAAAAATAGGTGATACTATCAAGTACCCAAACGTCAATTACAGGAAAATGTGGCATTCGGAGGATTCATATGAGAATATATTTTCAGGAAAAGTCACCCTACACAAAGGAACGTACTCATGAACGGGAAGGACGTGAAAATCGAGATAAACAATATCCTTTTCTAATACATTTGTTCTATTTAATAGCTATCAATGAAATGATCGTGATTTCAAAGAATAAAATATATGATCCTTAATTATGAATTACTAGGAGAAGTTCGGATCCCAAACGAAGATGATGTACAACAATGGACAAAATTTGACTTAACATTTTATATACTACGTTTGGTGTTGCATGTATTAAGGTAGAATTCAAATAATAAAGAAAAATAGAGATTAATTTGTATATTATATTAACGTCCAATTTTATAAAATAAACTAGATAACAAAAGTTCTTTGGTATATATTCAATTCAGTCTTAAATTTGTACATACAACTAAGATTTTATGTAGTTTATAACAAATAGAATTAGCGATCGCAATAAAGATGTCACCAGTTTCATACCTGATTGTTTGTTAATTATGCTTAGATTGCTCCTACAAAACTACTATGTGCGTTATAAATACTATATTTAATACAAATGTCATATTAATTCTTATTTTACCGCTATTAAATTATAGTAAACATTACGAATTATTGATAAAATTGTAATAATATTGATCCGCTTTCAAACTCTCTTCCTCTAGCCGCTTGAGTCTCAATTTTGCATCATGAAGAATATCTTCCGTGGAACTACTTTCGCTAATAACTGTATTTGTATTTGCAGTTTGCGTTGGAATTTCTACGCTAGTAGGCCTTAACGTGCGTATCCCTTCTATTTGTCGACATAACTGAAGGGCACGCTGCGTTATCTGTTCTATTTTCAATTGCTGATCTTTTATGAGAGCAGTTAATTCCTCCTTCTCTTTAGTAAGCGCTTTGATTCTTTCCTCTTGAGATGGATTGCTCACAAACTCTGTTTGTACCTCCATATTCTTTAAATCGCGACTCGTCGATGTTTTCCTCGTTTCTTGTTCCTGTAATTTTTCTACGTCTTCTAACTTTTTGCAGTTGGTTTGTTCTTTTTGCAATCTACAAATCGTAAGTAATTATACAAAAATGGAGTAACGCATAAGTTATATATACATGTGGTATCGCTTACCTATTTTCTTCTTGTAATAGTAATCTTTCTTTGAGCGCTAATTTCATTTCCTTCTGTAAAATATACTGTTCGTTATTCATTTTTGTTTCCTTTAACTGTTGTTCCTTCAAGCTCACTGAATGCACCACCTTCTAAAATAGTATATTCTATTATTTATTAGTCAATTTAGAATACACATTAATTACGAGATAATAGTTCATGTTACCTGAACTTGTTCCAATTTTGTATTTAATACTTCAAGTTGCTGTTCTATAAGAACTGCTTTTTCCTTTAACATCATTTCTCTTTTGCGTAGCTTACTATCTACTACTTGCTTATGCATAGATACCTTCTTCTTTAGCATTTCCAATTTTTCAATTTGTAACTTGTAAGCACGCCACGAGAATTGAGTTTGTGTTGATTCATTGCAGAGGGACACATTTTCTTTTATTGGTACACTATTGTGCGTATTGTAGAAGAACATAGTTATGCACTTTAATATACACAACAACAGTGGCATATCATTTTTAATATACTGTGATATAACATGTTTTCCTTTAGTATCGTGAGGATTAATACCTAGTGTTTCCAGGGCATGTAACACATAATCGCTCCTTAACTTTTCATTATCATTTTCATTCCTATCAGACTTTTCCATTGTCTTATTGGAAAAGTTTACTAAAAGTGGTGCTTCACTGGCAAATACCGATAATGTATAAGCGTAATTATGATTGAATAAATACTCTGCTATCAATAGATCGTAAACATACTGTTTGGCTGATTTAGGACCATCACTTTTCAGTACAAGGTCCTTATTTTTTAATGCATTCACTAGATTTTGACGTAGGTGTGTCCTTATATTCGATATTACTCCACATTCTTCGAACCTTTAAATAGTACAATAATTGATTAAACCGATACAAAACATAAATTTTCTATGTTTATCAAAATTAACCTTTACTTTCTTCTTAACTCTTCTAATATATTTATATGAGCATTCTTACCATTTATACATAGACGAAATGTACTTTTGATCCATATCAGACAATTAGAATAACTTTAAATCGAAGATATAATTATAAATTAATATTATAAACCGTTTCTTTCTGACGACAGATTAATTGTATGTATACAAAATTTAAATAGTGCTGGATGGGGGGGGGGGAGTAGTGGCGCCATCGGTGGCGGAACACCCAAGTTTGCAGTGAAAATAGTTCCTACTGTTGCCATTAGATGGAGCCACTAAGTGTTTCTTTGTAGCGGATTTTATTTTCAGTTAGCAAATACTCGCTACAATAAAACGTATAAAACAATGTAATTAAGGGATCTGATGAAGTATATTTTTATTTAAAATATTCTTGTTTGTGTCACATGATTTATGATAGATGAAATAAATAAGGTTAGGAATTTACATTAACTTTTTGCTGGTTTAGCAAATTGCACGACCATTGGCTTGTCTTTTAATATGTATCCATTCGTTTGATTGAGAGCCAGCTGTGCTTGTTCGATATTTTGTAATGTAACAAATGCTTGACCCTTCATTCTACCCTCTTGCATGAGTCTCACATCATACCTAGAATTATAAAGATTATATTATAGAATGTTATAACAAACTAAACAAGAACTGCAATATTTTAAATACTCGTTAAAAATTCTTACTCAAATACTGTTTTTAACTCAGGTACCATAAATCTTCGGTAAATAAAATGGAGGTCTTTTGCTTCGACTTGTTTTGCAAGATTTTTTATGTACAAACGATTAGAAGGCTTGCCAGGATGATAATTTTTGAAAACAGGAAGCAGCCTCTGATCTGCAATATAAATGAAATTAATTTTTAATCCTTTGGGACTTTCGATTCAAAAGCCAACAATTGAATCAGTAAACTAATCGATAACTGAATATTAGGACTAAACAAGTTATTATTATAATACCGTTGGCAGAAATCTTATTATCCGCCAATTCTTTGGAAGTGATCACTTCCTGTTGAATATTTTCCGTGCTTTCGTCTTCAACAGTTTCGGGATTTTTGGGAAGAGGAAACATTAAACCAAAACCCCCATCTACAGTATTTTCAGTTACAACATTATCTTCCCTACTCGAGACGTCCAACAATGTCTCTACTGTTTTTAATTCAATCTTCAGATTCTTCGCTTCTGAACGCTGCACCGGCTCAAACATGTCTTCTGGTTTTACAACCTTCTGCGTAGAAGTAGTAGCTGCGATTTGTTTAGCAGGGTTAACGAATTTGGGAATTTTTAAACGCTTTGTGGATTGTTGAGATTTTCTTTTTACAGGGATAATTTCTACGAGTTGCGTCGCGCTATTTTCCTCGTCTGACTCTATTTCAGATTCTTCTTCTTCTTCTTCTTCCTCCTCTTTATTGCAAGAATCTGCTGAGATAAATATATTATATAACAAACTCATAAATAAAATTTGGATAAAAATGGAATAAAACTGTGGTTTCGTTACCTTCGTATTCTTTGTCATTTAAGCTTCCTTTCTCGAATATATTCTTGTATTTTTCTAAATTATAGACATCTTTAAGCAGTGGAAATTCTGCTTCAAGTTCCTCAAAAGGTGGAGGCAAATTCATTTTGTTCATTAAGTGTAGAACCTGTACAAACATGAACCATTTAGAAGTTTATAATGTAAACTATGTTCTTTCGTTAATTTACCTGTGTATAGAAGGCTGGTTCTTTTACCAATTGGATAGCTATTCTTATCAATGTACTCTTTGTCGGTGGTAAATATTTATATTGTATATTTGGAGGAGGCGGTTGAGAGAAAACTTGATTGGCAGTCCAACTATTCAATTTTTGTAGAAAAGCTTGAAAATTGGATTTACTAATTGGTTCCTTTTTACTTTCTTCCGTGGTAAGCTTATCATTATAAACTTCGTTTGGTGTATTTTCTATAGATATAAATTTCTTAGCGAATTCAACCGTCAAGTATTGCCCTCGAATATTTAATTGATGCAGACGCAATAATGCTTCTGTAGCTGCCTGTTGCGATGGAAACTTTGCATAAGTTACAGTATATTTCTTGGAGGGTCTCAAGGTCCGTGTATTAACAGCACCAAATTTTTTAAATAATTCATTGCGCCGTTCATTGGAGAGTTCTGGTGGCAGATGAAGAATTCTAAGAGTATCAGAAATCTAAAATAAAATGTTGAATATTTAGCGTTTAAAGATTAAAGAGGGGTTACAATACAAATTGTAATAAACAAAACAGCAATTCAATAAAGGTTAGGTAGCCAGTAGACAATTTACATTCGATTTCTCTTTACAATTTATTAATACTACGTGTGTAAAAAAAAAAGGAAATTACATGTGCTGTCTTGGATGACATTCTAAATTAATATTGGAGTGATAATAATTCTATTATCAATCACTGAAATATGTTGATATTAGTTATGGTACCAGTGGCGACATCGGTGGCGAAATGCCCAAGTTTGTAGTGAAAATAGTTCCTACTGTTGCCATTAGATGAAGCCACGTGTAACTTTTAATAAAGTATTTTTTATTTGCGATAAATGCATAAGTAATATGATTCCTTGCGTTATACAGCTGGAATATCTTATATAATACGTCAAATTTATGTTTTCTGTGAATAATTATTTATAATTATTTTTACTTTAGTTAACAGCGCCATCTAGCGGCTGCATTGAGAAGTATTTTGACGACTGGTGGTAATTCTCTGAACTATACTATATATACCATAAAAAACGGCGGAGTGTCGCCTCTGTAAGAGTACTCTGCGATTACATTGATACGTCATCTTAATGATATGAAACTTGTGTCCATGTGTCAGGAGCAAGCATGCATTTCACATCCTTTATTTTTAGCTTCCGAAAGATAGCAATAAGCGTATTTATTAATTAGAATCAGTGGAAATAATTTCACGTATACGTTTAATGAACTTTAAAGATGGCGCTTTCGTATTTGACATGTATATGTAGTAAAGTGCTCGGTTGACACATGAAGGGGTTATATTTCTTCGAGCCTCTTGTAGTGTTCATATTATCTGCGAATTTATCATAAGAATATTTTCAACACAATTTCGCCACGAAAGACGCTGAGAAATCTATTAGTGAAGCCCACACTCGCCAAGTTTTGGTGAATGTTTTTAAAGTAACAAGCAGTAACAAGCTTCTATGACAGTAGATTGTCAAAGTATGTATAATATATTTATCTGTTTAAACCCCTCGTTTCTTTTAAACTTATCATATATTTGAGTTTTAGTCAAATCTATTGTACACAAATATAATTTATTAAGTATTTATAATGTATCCTAATGAAATTATTTATAATGTTAACTCAGAAGCTTAAGGGAAGGCAATGGGTGCAACGCCAAGTCGGTACGATGATCTGTCCAAGAATATTTATCTGGAGAGATTCTGTGGGAAGAAAGGCATTCTTCCTAATGATCCTTTTTGGGACACTTTCCTTTCCTACAATGTAAGACCACCCGTTACCAGGAATGATCAAATAGAGCTGGACTCCCGTTTGGATTCCTTGTGCCAGCAATTGCTCGCCAATAATCTAACCACTGGGAATCTTGGAGCTTTGATACAAGTTGTTCTTACTCGCACTAGCAACTTACTTGCATCTGTGCAAAATCAGAAGTATGGTATACTTTCATTGAAGCAATTTTATTCTAAAGCTAAAGTACAAATTAAACATAAAAATATTACTGGATTTAGACAACTATAGTTACCTTTACTTTATTCACAGAATTATATCGGCTTGGCAAACTTACAATGCACTGTTCGCTGTAAGATGTATATTAAAATATCTAATCGAAACAGTTGGGGAAGAAGAAATGGTGAAACATATTGAAGCGCCCGAGCTACCCGTATTATCGCAATCGAACTCGTCGTACAGATTAGAGGAGTTCTTCGAGGCGTTAACGAACATCATAACGGATGTTCCATTGTGGTAAATTCTATTCCGAAATTTGAATAAAAGCTACCATTTCTAAAATAAATATTTCATGTCACGATTTTTTTTTAACAGTGAATTTACGTACGTCGTTCACCTGGAAGCGATAAACTGTTTGCTGGTTTTGCTCTCTGTGCAATTGTTTTCGCAAACCGCGGCAGAATACAGCAGCATTTACAGAATAGCCATGCATTCGCATTCCAGTGAACGCGCACCAGCGGTGGTGTGCACGTTACTGCACAATTTTGTGCAACAGGAACACGCTCCGCCTGGGTTGCTCACGCAGCAGGCAGGAGGGAGTATTGTTTTCAGTATAGCTGGTATGTTTCGAAAGGATATACTTTCATAGATGTATGTATTTTTGTATTGATAAACAATGCTTTCCCAGCTGGATTGTGGAACGTGATAACGATGGGTATGGGTAGCAGTTTAAAGAACGTTCAAGTAACGAGTAATGGCATTTCCGAAGAGGAAGAAAGAAAGCGAGATACGGAGACTCCTCTTGCTAGTCAGTCTCTGTTGTTGCTATTGGTTCTAACGAACCATTGCACCGCTACGCAGAACCCATACAGAAATGCACTTTTTTCATTTGTGGGCATGGAAGGTTAGTAGCTGTTAGGATAGATCATTCCTGTGAAATGAAATGAATAAGTAAATCTCTACTACAAATAAATTGATTAAAATGTATGCGTATTCCTTTAGAAGACTGTAATTCAACGCAAGCGAAAAACGCATTTAGGTTTAATTTGAATAAATTGTACAATACTGTATGTAAAATACCAAACACGGACGAAGTCACGTTGTTGTTGTATATGTTACTGCATAGAAATTCGAGCGTGAAGCAAGACATCATGCGAAGCCCAGATATACAACTATTGGTGAATAGAATTGATTAATTTATTAATAAAACAATTTTAGGTGATAGTTATTATAGCTTAATAACTTACGTGTAGGTAACGCCCATATTGCAAATATTGTATCACGCTCCAAACAACACGTCTCATCACATTTACATGTCCCTCATCATTCTTTTAATTCTGAGCGAAGATGAAACGTTTAACAAGAGAATACATGAAATCGTAAGTAGGTTTACGCGCATTAATTAATGTCATTTGTGTACAAGAATTTTGTATCGAATTTCATATAAATGTTGAATTTTCAGATGCTCAAAGGTGTCAGTTGGTACACGGAGAGATCCATAAGTGAAATATCCTTAGGCGGGCTGCTGATCCTTGTCGTCATCAGGACGATACAGTATAACATGTTCAAAATGAGGGTAAAGACGCGTACACCTGTAAACAATCGTTAAATATATACCACGATAAAGTATTTCGTGTACTCCGCAGGACAAGTATCTACACACGAATTGTTTGGCAGCGTTAGCGAACATGTCTGCGCAATTCACGTCCTTGCATCCTTACGTTAGCCAAAGATTGTTAAGTTTATTCGAAACGCTCGCGAAGAAGCATGTCAGATTGGAAACGAAGATACGGGCGCAGCCCTCGGTTCCTTCTGACAGTACATCTATTACAGTGAATGGAACCACCGCAAACACAGACTTGGTAAGATACCAAGGTAACGGTTTGCTCTAATTAAAATGATTAAAGTGATTTAATATACACGATTATGTTACAGATTCAAGATCTGACGATTCTCGAAGAAGTTCTGCGGATGGTGTTAGAAATCATAAATAGCTGTTTGACTTATAGGCTCGCGCATAATCCTAATTTAATATATACACTTTTGTATAAGAAAGACATTTTTCAACCGTTCAGAACGCATTCAGCGTTTCAAGATATCGTGCAAAACATAGATTCTGTAAGCATAGCGAACAATTATAACACCTTCGATACTTTGTAGACGTGGATGGTAGCAAAAGAAATTTTTTTTAGGTCATAAACTTCTTTTCTTACAAATTGGAGCAAAAGGATCAGTCGCAGCTCGGCGTCAGCCAAGTATTAACCACGATACAGCAAGGCACCAGTGAATGGCCACGCGATCGATTAAGGGTATGGCATATACATGTTTCTCTCTATTCTTCATCGTTCGTTTTCTCTATCGCATAATTATTTCTTGCACAGAAGTTTCCAGAATTGAAGTTCAAGTACGTGGAAGAAGAACAGCCAGAAGAATTCTTTATTCCTTACGTGTGGAGTGTTGTTTGTCAAAGCGCGCTGTTGCATTGGAGCGCGGAGAATATAAAATTGTTTTCACCTCACAGCGGAGAGCAGACGACGATTATAGTTTGCTGATATCGAGACAGAAGCTGCTGCTCGCAGTAACTATACTATAGAAACAAATTACGAAATATTCGACGCGATATTTCGTAACGGGACACTTATTTGATATGGAAAGAGAACACTATTTTGATTATTTATTGTAAAAGTAAAGGAAGATGGAGAATAGACCAAAATTGTTTAAAATATATGTTCGCTTTACGTTTGAGATCTATTTAATGGTATTTATCACCTTTGTCAGGGCGTTCTGTTCGAGTTAATATCTTATTTTGTAAAATACTGTCCGTTTGTTCAGTTCCGTTTGACATAACAGGTAAATTTAATCAAAGAATGGTGTAATGTGTAATACGTGAGCCTAATTAAGAGTATAATTATTGTAAAGCGTTCGGAATGATTCCAACTTGTCCCCCAGAGGCGCAATTTTCGAATGTACATCTTTATTAAACAAATACAGTTGACGTCTTAATAATTATTTATAATATGTCGTTACAGATAGTATTTCACTTTCCTAGCCTGTGCAGCGTGTATACATGGCCGCATATGTCTGTGTGTATGTGAGAGTGTATATTCTGTGTTTACAGTCTATTGCTAATATTTCTCTTGTCGAACGAGCTTCAATTGCTGAATTAACAATGTAATTTTTACGTTTCTGTGCGCCCAGTAGTGTGTCCTGTTATACTGAAGGTAATCCTCAGCCATATACTTCATCTCCTGGAACTAGTCCAGCGTACAGATAGTATTATTAATTAAATCCCTTAATTCTACTACATAACGTTACTTAATCTTATTAGTTAACACACAATCAATCTGCGATGGGAGGGAATTTTGTTGGCTTGTAGTTGTTCGCATACAGCCTAACTGGTTGGTAGTTACTTCGTTTCTCACACCGTCACCATAGGATTGGTTTTCTTTCTTCTAAACTTGGATTTATCTGAAACATTCTGCTGACTATCTTAGGCGAACGGTACGTGTAAATATAATAGTATAATAGTATTTATAAACGTAAACATACATACACTTATACATGTGCATATGTATACGCTAGCTGCCTACAAAATACAATAGTTACATTACAAATTCATACCTTCCCCTCTGTTTCTTTCCATTTTATAATCATCATTTGCAAACAGCTTAGATATATATATATATATATATTTTTTTATATATAATATATATTATAATAGTATAATCTAGTTGGTTTTTGTTCTTGTGTAGTTCCTTTCCTTCGTAATTATATAATTAAGTACATCTTTAGAGCA